TATTTCTATTTCTAATTTTTATACTATTTGATTCAAAAAGCTATAATAAACCAAAGAAGACTTTATTTGCTTTAAGATTAAAACTTGTTTAAAATGCAGATATTAAAAAAATATAACAAAAAGTAGTTCTAACTCTTTTTTTAGAAACTAATTTTATATAAGAAAGTAGCTAGTTTGTGTATGAATATTCATCTAAAATTTATTACTATAATTAACTTGTTACCATATGTTATTAATTATTACATAATTCTTGATAGAAAGTTAATAGAATGTTTTATTTTATTATCAGGTGTGGACATTGTAAAAGGTTGAAACCAGAGTATGCAAAAGCAGCTGAGCTACTCATAGGTAGTGAACCGCCAATCACGCTCGCCAAGGTCGATTGTACAGAGGCTGGAAAGGAAACGTGCAACAAGTTCTCTGTCAATGGTTACCCGACGCTCAAGATCTTTGAGCGTAACGAGCTCAGATCCGACTATAACGGTCCTAGAGAAGCAGTTGGCATTGTTAAGCACATGAAGGTAAACATCTTATCTTTTATCTAGTTATGAAGGACTAGTTATACAATTTTCTTACCAGTGATTATTGTTTCAGTCCCAAGTTGGACCAGCGTCTCAAGAGTTGACTAGCGAAAAGGCCCACAAGACGTTCCTAGAAAATGATGAAGTTGTTCTGATAGGTTATTTTGAGAAAGATGATTCACCATTGTCTGCGGCATATCATACTGTTTCCAAGAAACTCAGAGAGAAAGTCAAATTCGCTCACACGTCGGCGAGTGAAGTATTGGACAAAGTCTCTCACAAGTATGTGTTTTAAAAATTAGAGAGATAATTTTTCTGTGTTTGTTTTTTTTTACGAAGGAAGTAACTGTTGAAAAAATGAAATATATACATACTAATTGCACTTCTTGTTTCAGGAATGCTATTGTTCTTTATCGACCAAAGATACTCCAGAACAAGTTCGAAGATAACAGCATTGTGTACAAAGGCAGCGACTCTATTAGTGATGTGAACGATTTCGTTACCAAAAACTAGTAAGTTTCACCTTTTATCGAAACTTAAGCAATCTTCGAATCATTTTGTAACACCGACTTTGTTGCAGCTATGGCATCGTTGGCGTACGCACTCGCGACAACTCGCAGGACTTCAAGAATCCTCTGGTGATTGCCTACTATAATGTAGATTACGTGAAAAACGCCAAGGGTACGAACTACTGGCGCAACAGGATCATCAAGGTCGCCAAGGACTTCCCCGCGTTCTCTTTCGCCATATCTTCTAAGGATGACTTCCAGCACGAACTCAACGACTTCGGTATCGACTATGCAAAGGGTGATAAACCAGTAATTCTAGCACGAGATGATAAGAATCAGAAGTTTATTCTCAAAGACGATTTCTCCATGGATACGTTCGAGGCGTTCCTAAAGAGTCTGCAGGCCGGTGCTTTGGAACCGTATCTCAAATCCGAACCGATCCCAGAGAGCAATACGGGTAACGTGAAGGTCGCGGTTGCCAAGAACTTCGATGAAGTCGTCACCAATAATGGCAAGGATACACTAATCGAGTTTTACGCGCCCTGGTGCGGCCACTGTAAGAAACTGGCACCAATATATGACGAGTTGGGTGAGAAACTGGCGAACGAGGATATCGAGATCGTCAAATTCGATGCCACAGCGAACGATGTGCCAACGCCGTACGAAGTACGCGGTTTCCCGACGCTGTTTTGGGCACCTAAGGATGCTAAAGACAACCCGGTCAAATACGAAGGCGGTCGCGAGCTCGACGACTTCATCAAGTATATCGCTAAGCAATCCACCGATGAGCTCAAGGGCTACGATCGCAAGGGCAAGGCGGTGAAACCTAGAACTGACGAACTATAAGATATTAACTGATTGATCGAAACGAAATTCGTTTTTGCATTTTCGAATGCATCAATCTACGAAGCGATCCGCGAGTTTTTCTGTCGTAATACGCAAAGCAACTCTAGTACATTCAAGAGCGAACAAATGTGTTGTATGAACAGAAATAACACTTAAGAGTGCAGATATCATGGGTTTTCCGCGAGACGTTTTGCAATAAGTGAAAAATGGATGGTCGAATGGGGGGAGGGGGGGGGGGGGGTCTAGCATATAGGATTGTCTACATATACTAATTGCATACTTTGTAACGATTGTATAATGACGTGATGAAGCGCGCAGAACTGATTTGAAATTATTTCTGTAACATGCTTTTCCAGGATGTTTGGCGAATTATAAAAGTTATATAGAAAGCAACACTCCATTCCATTTCGCGTATTTCGACTACACTACGTTAAGAGATAATGCAGTGATTTTTGTTTATATACGAAAGAGTCAAAATAAATTGTTTTATAAGAAAAAAAAAACATTAGGATTTTTCTGTTCTTTTTCCTGAAGCTAATTATAAGTATCGTTTATGATGTATGAATAGCTGAGTATCGTGTTAAAATAGAAGACAGATACTAACGCAAGTAAAATTTTCTCGCTTTCATTAACGGGTATTATCCAGCAGTAGAGCCGATTATATCGTCATAAGAAATGTTTATTGTTAGTTACAATTTGTTATTATAGCGTTCGTAGGTTAATCATACAGTCTTACATACAAAAGCTTAATTAGTAGTTTTGCAGAAAAAGGGTGTGAGCCGGTAGAAAGATTTCGGAAGTCAAAATGATCCCTTTTCCTTTTTCCTGATTCATAAAAATCGGATTTAGTATTTCACGCACACATACACACACATCGGAAAAGAACTGCCGATATTTCTCTTTTTCTTGGATTTTTTCTTCTCGTACAAATCAGTTTAAACACGAGTCTCAAAATATCTCTACTTATGAAAAAGATAATTAGCTTACGGCAATCGTACAAGACGCGTATTTATCGATAAGGTAATCTTGAGGTTTACGGAATCCTTTAGGAAAAAGTACTTCGTGTGCCTGTGTGTGTACGTATTTGTGCGGGCGTAGGAGATGCATGCATATCTTCTTTTCTTCTCTTAGTATTAGCTCGCCGAAAAGAACTGTTCGTTCGAATGCGCGTTTATCAGTTCCATGTGTTAGCATTAGATTCGATTTTTTTTGTAGTTCAAGCCTGTTCTCGTTAATTTTTGCTTATTGCTCTTTTTTTCTGTTTATGCCATGCGACAAAAGTGTATGTATGTATGTGTGTGTGTGTGTGTGTGTGTGTGTGTGTAAATAGTGTATATTGTGTGCTCTGGAAAAACGGTATTCGCAAATCTTGACGCGCGTATATTTATCGTGATACGCGAAAATTGTTGTAGAATTTGTATCATATATGTATATACATAATAATATCTTGAGTGCGTAATTGATACAATTTACGTATTTATGTATATACAGATGTGTATACATATATCTGTATATATATATATATATATATACGTACACACATCTACATATCAAGAAACTCAATATAAAAAGAACACTTTCGAGCTTCGCAGCGACGCGCGACCTGTAGAGTGGAGCGTGTATTCGACACGTATTTCCCAAAGCACTCGTTAACTCAGGCACACTTAATTAATTGCTTAATATACATCTCCCTTTCTATCTTATCTCTCTTTCTCACTTTCTTTTTCCGCCTGCCTTCCTCTTCTTCGCTTTTACGAATCCGTCGTGCGCGCGTTTGCTCGTGGCAGAAGTATCTTAAGTAAGTGTCGCTAAGCTTCTTTTTCCTTCAGGCATCTTTGAGAAGTTCCGTAAAAGCGTACTGTGTATTAACAAGATCTACTATTCGCTAAGAGAAACGAGGAGAGAACTTAGTGAACACAATTCCGCAGTCGAGCCCATTAAATTAACGGCCGAGGGAGGCATCGCATTACGCAGCCGTTAATTCAACATCACCTTTGTAACAGACAATTTTTGTTCATTACAATAATCTTACAGATAAGACGGATCTATAAAAGAAGACAAGTGTAGCATCATTTCTCTTTTCTTCTCGGCGTAAACGACAGCACAAGCGAAACGGGAAGAGCTTATGGCGAAACAAATAGGTCGAACATTGGTGTGAATTTTGCGAAGCAGCTCGGCTCTACAATTGTGGCACACAAAATCAAAGCGAGATACACGGCGTCGCCGTGCGCGAGATAGGCACGACCGATAATCTCCAAGTTTAGTACATCATACGCTAAAGATATCGATGGCGTATGTATGTGTATAAAGCGCAAACCGCAAGTCCAGTCACGGTTTGGTCAGACACAAAGAACGCGTTCCCCGAAATACATAAATATAAATGTAGTCGCTGTTATAATCTCCGTTATGTTAGTGTCATCGTACAATAATTATAATAAGATAATAATAATAAAACATACTAATATACATATTTAATAGTATATCTTAAAAGTCCAACTGATCTGCTAATTTATCTATGCGCGTTTATAATGTCCATTTCTTTTCATCATTCAAGAGTCACAAAAATGTGACAATTTTTAGTAAAAAAGATGCAAGATTCAAAGTTCTCTCGAATTGTTTCTCTGAGTCTTAATACTCTTTAACTGTATTTCACATGTTTTCGTAACGTTTTCTATTGATATTTTATCTCAATTCGCTCAAAATTTTTTCTTTCATTTTGTTTATTATCAAAATAAAGAGACACTACGATTAAAAAACAAAGATGTAGAATGCATATAATAATTATAATAATATTAATTATATTAATAATGAGACAGTAATAATAATAGTAATAATTACTACAATGATAAAGATAATTGTGTACCGTAAGATATAGATTGTTGTTGGTATGACAATCATTTTTTGTTTTAATCATTTAACTCGAAGCACAATTCATTACTGTTAAAAATTACACAATCAATATAGTCATTACAATATACATTATGGTTTTCCGTAAGATTATAAGTATACTTGTATTGAATTTACTTAGTATTTCTCGAGTCCTTCCGGTTTCATTGACAGTTTACAACATTAAGTATATATGTATTTGTCGACGCGGTTGCACCTTCTTTATTGTTTTGCTAAATTTTTTTGCTGCTGTAGACTTGTTTTATTATGTAAAATAATTAAAGGTAAGATGTTATATCATGGTTTCCGCTGGGGATCTGCGCTATTACGACTAGCTTCTTTGCAGCTAGTTCCGCAATTTCATAAATTTTGCCCGTAACTACGGGCTCACTTGTCATAACATCTTAAAGAACACTACATCTTCCCCTCTTCTTCTTCTTTACCTAAGATTTTAAGATATTTGTATTAGTATTAACATGTATAACAACGATAACAATAAGTATCAAGCAATATTGTAACATTACAAAAAAAAATATATATATATATTGTTAAATGTTTCTTTTCATATTCCTCTCAATGATTTTCCCATCTTTAGAAATTGTTATTAGAATAGGTAATTAAGACATACTTGTAATGCAGCTCGAGTTGCCGTTTCGAAAACTTCCCTTACACCTTCCTTGCTTTTAGCGGAACACTCAAGGTAAGCGAAAGCATTGATTTTCTCTGCCATGGCCCTACCCTCCTCAGGCTTAACTGGCTCTTGTTTCATCTTGCTGAGCTCCTTAATGGTGTTAGGATCATTGCGCAAGTCTTTTTTGTTTCCAACAAGGATAATGGGCACGTTTGGGCAGAAGTGCTTCACCTCTGGTGTCCACTTCTCGGGAATGTTCTCCAAGGAATCGGGACTATCGATGGAGAAGCACATTAGGATAACATCCGTATCCGGATACGACAACGGACGCAACCTGTCGTAATCTTCTTGTCCGGCTGTGTCCCAAAGAGCCAGTTCCACCTGTTCGAAGAAGCGAGAAGTTCGTTAAAAGAGAAATTTTAGCAGGTTTTTTGACGAAGGTAATAAGGGAAATGTTTTAAGACAAGACATACCTGTTTACCATCCACCTCGATATCGGCGACATAGTTCTCGAATACTGTAGGTACATACACTTCAGGAAACTGGTCTTTGCTGAACACTATGAGAAGACATGTTTTACCACAAGCACCGTCGCCTACAATAACCAACTTCTTCCTAATGGCTGCCATGAATCCTAAAATACAAAAGAGTATACGTGATACGTATAATGGTAGTAAAAAAAATTGGCACGATAATGTATAGTTTGACACTGCTCATTTAGAACATTTATCATTTTAAAAATGTACAAGAATATTGATTAATACGAAAAGCGAAACGTGTAGTATGATACATTTACATATTACAAGTTAGTGATAACTTTCACAATTACGATCAAATCGATACGAAAATCCGGAATATTATTGTACATGAAATATTTACATACATATACAAAATAATGCGACAAAATATATAGATTTATTTTATCTAAAACGACTAATTCGTATTATCGTTTTATCAATATAGTTTTATCTGCATAAAGGGGGAGATAATACTGTGCCTCAAGGTGAAACTCCGGGAGGCACCTTATATTATATTTTCATAATTGCCAAAAAATGAGCGGTTTTCCATCAATAATAACTTGCTACTTTACAGATAGAATTCTCTTTTACAATTAATTTCGCAATCGTATTGTAATACAGTATTCAATGCAATAACGTTCGCTAATTATGCTTTTATCGCGTTTCTCGCTAATTGTGACTCATTTGTACGAAGTACACATATTTTCGAACTCTTTCCATCCTACGTATGAAGTAATCGGGCAGAATAGCCTTTCTTACTAACATCTATGCAATAAGTAATCTTACGCTTGTAATTACAAAATATGAGCGTTACTTTGCAAATTCAAATATTTCAGAATGTGTACTTTACGTGTCAACATATACCATTCGGAATACCTTACAACCTAAGAGATGACACCAAATAGATATCGATAAAGAATTTCGATCAACTAATTGCGATATTATACGGAAAACACTATCAGATTATTTCAAAAGCATGCGGAGTGACAGATTTGTAGCATACATGGATTACTTTACGGAATATATCGATAAAGCGCAAGAGATAGCTGGAAGGAATTAAGAATTATAGTTAGTGATTGATTACATTAATAAACTTGCTTCCCTCATACAGCGTTAGTTACTTATTACAATTAGAGTGGAGCAGAGCAAATACTTTTAATCGAAAGCGTGTAATATACAAATACGAAAGAAGTGATAAGGCTAAGAAGCATTCTTCAGGATAGAGTTAGGAAGAAGAAAATTAGGGTAAACCTTCGTGAGACTGTGTAACTCGCGTTATGTACACTTCTTCTCATCGGAGCGTAATAAAATATCTCAAACCTCGTAGACTATATTTTTGTCCTTTGCTTGTTTCTTCCTCTTTTATCGCAGTCTCTTTACTTCAAGCCGATCTCACAGAAGACGTTCCTTTTGGGAGAATAAAAATACAATGCCTTTTGGCTACTTTACTGTTTTACTTATGGTATCAATATGTTACTATAATATTTACGAAGCAAGAGACAAGAGATATACGTTCTAAAGTCCTGTAGTCTACTCAATCGGGCTATGAAAAAGCGGGACCTATGAGGACTGAAATCTTAAAGGATATTGACTGGGTCGTACCTGATACTGATACCGGATAAAGCATCGGTTTGCTTGGCAATCCGATGCATGGGCCCGTGATGTTTGCCAACATGTTTTTAAACATTCTTTCAGCGTCTCTGTTTAAGTGGACATTTTATATGTTAAATATAAGTGAAGGAAGCTGCGATATGAATGCATGTGTACCATACAACACATATCAATAAATGCATATATTATATATTATATATATATATATATATATACACATTCTGTTCTATGTTAACAATTGCATAAATATATCGGAGATCTTCCTTCATTATAGAAACTTGAAAGATACTGTTTCTTAACTCTTTCTCTTCTGATGTTAAAAAGAAAGGCACATGATATACATATACATATGCTACGAGGTTTCAGCAGGAGATTGTCAGTAAATAAGTATAACAATTCTTATGCCATCTTATTCCACGTTTATATATCAATTGAGATATATATTGCATTCGTTGTGGCTCTCTCTACATAAGGTAGGGGCTTCAATATTTTACTGCATTCAGGAGAACATGACATACGAAACATTTATAGCAATGCCTTATATCGATTTGTCCACAAGAGTCATAGGAAATTCTTCTTGATCAAAGACTGTACCTTATGCATCGGAACAAAATGATAATCCATTAAGAAGCTACATGCAAAGAAAAGAAAACGTCGGTAAGATTATTCACAGTTAGACATGCAATATCAAACACTATATATATTCATCAGAGAAGAACTATCCAACGAAACGTAAATCAAATCCAGTGGTGCACACTGTACAAACGTGACAATACGCTATACAGAGTTTCACAGGAATTCAAAGGCAATCTCAACCTTTAAGGCCTCAATGACAACCTGAAATTTGATTTCCTATTACAAAAAAAGAGCAAACTAAAAGAGCGACTCAAAGTTACTAAATGATGGCAACAAAGGAAAAAAAGGCTTAGATGCAAAAGTTTGGCTGCCCTCACGTTTTGTATCTCATCGCAATAACAAACTATGATGATATTCAGTCAAATTACACAAAACGAAAGCACATGAAATATTGTCCGTAAGGTACGAGAGAGAGTCGCCACAAGAATTTGTTCCTGCTGACAGAATGTGGTATCAGATATCGGTCCTCTTTCAGCCTCGAAAAACGAAGCCGAGCGTTTTGGACGACCACGTCCACGTCGATATCACGAATATTCTCGACACGCAGGAATGAGTCCTTTATTTCGCAATTTACACACGTCGCTCACAACTTATCGGAAAGGGAGAGAAAGAAAGAGAGAGAGAGAGAGAAAGAGTATGTGTGAGAGAGAGAGAGAGAGAGAAAAAGTACATGCCGCTACATGAAACGAGTGTCGATAGAATATTGTACGTCAAGCTGGGACCAACCCTTTCGTGTATTTCTTCGAAACATAGAGTTCCACGAGGACGAGCACGCGATCGGCGTCAGAAGACATGCAGCAGTCACCTCTGATGACCCCTAAAATCCAGTTGCCGAGCGCCTCTCCTACGAGGACGACAATATTGCTACCTCGGGAGGGGTGTGTGTATGTGTTCCTTTCAATCGCGCTTGTCACTCATTACACCCTCTGTGCTTGAAACAAAAGGAAGACGTACTCGCGGTTTTTTGTAAAGATCAGGAGTACAGGTAGAATCACAGAAAGAGAAAGAGAGGAAGCGTGGAAGTTAAAAGGGACAGACCGAAATCTCTGTTAACACTTTTTCGCATCTAAAAGTATCTCGAAAGAAGTGAAAAAAGAAAGAAAGAGAGAGAGAGAGAGATAGAGTTCAGAAAGTATGTCTAAAGCGAACGAGACCTGTCTGTCGGCTAAACTAACCTATACTTTCCACCGCGATGAGGACGGACGGCGAGCAACGGCCAAGGTCGCGGAACTGGCGAAAGAGCACACACACACACGGGCGCGCGCGCGCGTAGGAGAGAGAAAGAGACGAGGAGAGATTTCGTGGCGGATATACTCAGGACGCTATCGATGACGCGGTGCTCAGAAGACGCTAATGATGACGCGAGATTCTTGGGAGACGCCACCAACGTCCGGGATACGTTCGGCAGGTCCGGCCCGTTCGCGTTTATCTGCACTCTCCTGCACCCGCTCGCGTATACGAGGGCGTCCGTACGCGAGCACTCGCCGCGGCACGGAGAAAGGAGGCGAGGTGTAGAAAGTGCACGATCGCGAGAGTAACAGACCTCGGAAATCCAGGAGCGCGTTCCTTTCAGCCGCCACGGATTCCCTCTTCTTTTCTCTCTCTCTCTCTCTTTCCTCTTCACCGCGGTCGCGGAAATCCTCCCCGAGGATGTCTATTATACGCGGATGGGAAAAAGCGGAGCGCGGCGTGAGAGCGGGACCGAGAGTGGAACGTAACTTGGGGACGTTTCCCCGGACGATGCTGGGCACGTTCGCGCCGTAATCGCGTCACGTCAAAAGCGCGCACGTAGAACCTCAGAATTTGTTTACGCGGGGTTGGAGGAGGCGAGGGGAGGGTACGTCGTCGTCGGGCGACATCCGGCACGATCGAGACCGCTGTCACGAAAGGGAGACGTCAGCCGATCGTAGATCAGCCGCACAATTACATTTCGGCCTTCGGAGCAGAGAAGAAGAGAGAGAAAAAGAGAGAGAGAGAGAGAGAGAGAGAGAGAGAGAGAGAGAGAGAGAGAGAGAGAGAGCAGATAAGGGGGGAAGAGGGCCGGTCGAGAGACGAAGCGAAGAAAGCACAAGGTGTCTGTGTTCCTTTTTAACTGCACTCACACGGCTCTCCTTTTCTGGAAGAAAACTCGTAGCACTCGCGAGAACGCGGGGAAGGAAGGAAAGGGACTGCGGAAACGACGGCGCGCGAGAGTGTGTGTGGCGTAACAGGGGGGGATACACACGGGGCACAGAGTCGTTGCGGCAGTGGGTAAAGAGAAAGAGAAAGAGCGAGAGAAAGAAAGAGAGCGAAAGGGGCGTTTACTTACTGGGCTAAACGGCCACGTAGTTGTCAGGTAGAGCCCGAGAGCATTTCAAAGAGAGTTCCGTCTCGCACGGATTTATACTCGCTCGGCTCCCGCGGCAGCGATGACGGGCAGCGACGAAGATAACGATGACGACGACGTGGACGTAGACTATAAGCACACGAGTGTCGTAAAGTAAGAGAGTACCGAGACGCGAGAAATCGGAACTCGCGCGGGCGAATCGAGATACACCGTATATTCGGAGTACTTCAGAGCGCGCCTCGCCGTGCGGTGATACCGAGCGGACGAGATTCGCGACGCATGGCACTCCCTCGAGAGCTCCTAGCGCGACCCGCTCTTTCTCTCTCTCTCTCTCTTTTCCCCCCGTTTATTTATCCCCGTCTCGCTCTCTCCCTCTGTCTCTCTTTCCCTCACTCGGCTCACGGAGGAGGAGGCTGCTTTTTTTTTTTTTTACGGTAGGATCTTGAACGCGCTTAAAAACGCACGCGACGCTCGCGACGCCCGCACACACGACACACCCCCTCACCACTTCCTCTCGACGTTAATTTAAGATATATTTTACGTATTTACCTGATATCTTGCGACAGAAAATCAAGAAAATGGCTGCCCTCGATGGCCACACCTCAATCTGTTGAGTGTGCGGCGAATGGTCGCGGTGGTGGGGACACGAGCGGCGACGGCGGCAACTTCAGCTTGTTTCAGGGACGTGCCGAGCGCTGGGTGTATTTAGGGGCGATTGTCGGCGCTTGTTGGCTACGCGAAACCGGATCAGTGATTTTAAATTTACACAAGTTTGAAAAGTAATATAAATATAGTTCACGAATTAATGAATTAGAAGTTTATTTGATATTTACTTCAACTAGAAATAAAAAGATTTAATGATATTATTAATAATAATATACCTTTAATTTTGGTTTTAGTTAAATTTTAATAAAATTATCATGGGATGTATTTTAAAAAAAGAAATTCTTAGATTTTGAAGTAAATCTATATTTAATTTAAAATTGAAGTATATTAAAAATTAAGAATAGCATAGTAGATATATATTAATACTAAGAATTATAATAAAATATATAAATTTAAATAGTTATTATTTTTAAATGCAATTTAAATGCTGTAGGATTTTAAATTTCTTAGAGCAAACAAACATTGATTTCACGCGATGCAATATTAATTTTTAACTTGATAATTTACATTTTATAACTTGATGTCCTCAATATAAAGAAAATAAGGATTAATTAATTGAGTATAATTATATGACTGTTTTCAAACAAGTGATTCTTATAAGCATATTTAACAACAATTGCAATAAATCACATTTGCGTGTAGATATTAAAATTATTACTGAATTCCAACATATTATATCTTATTCATATATGTATACCTATATATGTTGTGTCTCCTAAAAATACAAGAATAAACATTAAATATTCAAAAGTAAAGAATTAGAAAACAGATTTAAAAAAAATACAATAAATACAAATAAGAAATAATAAAAATATAAATATATTCATTTTGTGCGTTATGTTTAATCTCTATTCCTGACTTCTTTATTTCTCATTTAAATATTTATTTCTATTCTTAATATTTCTTCTATTGTGATCCTAAATCATATCGAGAAACAAAGAACAGAGAAAAATCTGGAGATGCAAAAGAACGTATATTTTGCGGCGTATATTTCCATCAATTGTTTGCGAATTCTGATGGATTTTCACGAGAATCAAGCCACAATCATTAGTCCTGAAAACCACGGCGAGATCCACGAAATGACTTAACGGGATCCATTTAGAAATTCGACGCCGTTCTCGGGTCCGCATGGTGCCTGCTTTAACTCCAGTCCTGCATCCGAAACCGGCGAATCACGTGTCACCGGCGCGCACCGCACGTCACGGACCTGTGGAAGGCGCACACTTTTCACGCTTCGTGATCGCCGCCACTTGTAAGTGGATGACGGAAAGGGTTGGAAAATATGTAAATAACGACTGTCTTCCCATCATGTTTCTGCAAATGCGGGTCGTTTATTGTCCCGTTGCGTGAGATTCGCCAAGCATTAGAAAATGCTATAAAGATATTGCAAAGCGTCGACGGAAGTATATAAAGAAAATTATAGTTGTACACATTTTAGCGTAAAAAGAACAGAAATTAATTGCTTGATATAAAAAGGACGTAGTTTTGTAAATATTATAGACAGTAAACTTTCGAAATTTTTATCGTTACAAGAGAGAGGATTGAAAACTTATTTAATAATTATATCATAATCATCGCGGAGGATTAATATACAGGAAATTTACGTATCTACATTTTTCCAATCGTGCAGATCTTTTTTTTTACAGACCAATTTCACGCTGGTGCTTGCACATATGTACAGTATGTCATTAACCGGCTTATCGGCCGGATAAAATAAATGCCGGCGTCAAGAATTTCCCCCCCCCAATTGCCTGCGAAATGAAATGGTCTCAAGCGTTACACTTCCTATCCCTCTCTTTTCTTTTACAGATGGAGGAGTCCAAGGACGTGGGGAGACGGGATTTCTCGGCGATGACGTTCAAAGGAGTAAAAATTTGAATTAACGGACGATTTAACGAGTAATTCAAGTCTTCGTACATGAAGCTGCGATTCTTCTTTTTCTAATAAGTAGCACTCTACGGCGCTTTATTCGCGAATGAACTTTGACAATCAGCTGATCCAAAAAAAAAATCTATGAGCTATCCGCTTCTAATCACGGATAAGTATATCAATCAACCAATATAACCGACATATACACGCGCGTGCGTATTTATAAAAATGTACGTATGTGCGCGGGTGTATGTACTATGCGCGCGCGCGCGCGTAGCAACCAAATAAGAATGATGTCATCGCGTGACGCACGTGGACGGTGGAATTGGCCGGCGCTCATGCTCGGCCGGCCGACGAACGGCCGAACCCGTGAAACACGGGGAATATACGGCCGTTAATGAAACCTACGTACGTTTCATCCAAAGAAACCGTATCCGTTGATTATCAACGCGTAACGAATGCTCGTCTTATACAAAGATACCGCCGATAAGCCATGCGCTTCGACCGCGATACATCGCGCGTGCAGCTTCCTTTCTTCTCGCGGATAGAAAGCGCATCGCGCGAGTTACACTTGCATGCGTCCTCGTCTCTATCTAGTTCAGTTAACACATTGAAATTATTCTGGAAAAAAAAAAAAAACATAAAGAAAACACAAGAGATATGTATGATCGATTTGATGGAGGCTTCTCTATAGTAACTCATGGCACAAGTCAGAGTGTTTGTCGGAAACTTTTTATTTGTTTGTAGTTTCAATTTACTTTTTTGATTTTTTATAATTATCTATTAATATCTCACAATGGGTGATAAATTTTCCAATTGTCCAATTGGAAGAAGTACAGCGAAATAATAGAAAAGAAATCCGAATGTTTTTCATGCTGCAATTTTTATTACAATTTGTTTGTTAATATTAGCACGTTGCCTTAATTTTCAATGCGCAGGGTAAGAGATTCGTGTATTCAAGAAACGTGAGACTGTAAATTTGATATGCAAAAGTTCCCGTCTGTGTTTAGTCCAAAGATTTCAATTAATAATCATGCGTAACGTGTGCAATATATTGCATTATTGCAAAAATAATTTGCAATTCGCTCGATATCATGAATTCGTATATATATTTCGTGTCAATTGAATGTTCAGTTATTCAACCGAGATGTAATAAACAATTGTAATATATAAATTCGCATTTGTCATTCGTAATAATGATACAGTGCATGATCTAGAAATAATGCTCTGAATGTGATGCGGAAAATTGGGTATCACTCAATTATTATAGTCACTCAAATTATCGTGGTATTTAAAAAACATTTTGTCACATTGTGTATCAATCTTTAGCTATAGCTGTAAAAAAATTGTACAATAGCTAAAGAGAAAATAAGAAGAGGAAAGAGGCCCGATGTTACACCCGTAACGGCTAATCTATAAAATGAATTCTATGGTATACGCGTTATCGCGTAGATATATGATGATAGAATTATCATTAAAGCTTGTAAATCTTGTTTTACGGCATCCGTTAGAAAACGATACAATGTACTGATCTGTAACTACGAATGAGAAAAAAGTCAGCTATGATGTCCATAAAGTTCATGTCCATCTATCACACAACCAGTTATATTTTAATTTTGTTGCGGTGGTTCCGGATCGTTCGGATTGCCGCCCATTTGTCGTCTCAGCGACTCGATCAACTCGGGGTTTGCGTTCTGCATTTGCTGCGCCAATTGTTGGCCTCTGAAATATGTATATGCATACATACAGAATCTACACAAATCGTATCAACTCATATTGCTACAAAGACACAACTTAAAAAACAGAGTTTTCCAGAAAATAAGTTTGAATATTTTGAATCATTAAACTTTTGTAATATTAATCTTAAAATGCAATTTTAATGTAATAACTGATTAGAGAGAGATAAAAGTTCTTTTTTTTCTTTATGTTTCCGTTTTTCTACAAGCAACTAGAAAATAATCACTTTTTAGATTTTGTTGTACATCAGCATAACATCTATTGAACTAAATTTATGAAATTTATGATTCTGTTCTATCAAACTTACGCCTCTATGAGTAGTTCCATACGACCACCCTCTTCCACGTTACCAGTCATAAGATTACACATCATGTTCTGCATACCAGGGTCGGATAACATCTGACGCGCCATATTCATTAAAGAAGGATTGCTTAAAAGAGCGCTCAAGTCCATGCCGGGTAAATTAGGGAGAGATTGATTGACACCTAATTGGGCCAATTTCTCTTCTGCCAATTGCAAATTGTTCCGATAACTCTCGTTATCTGGTTCCATTGCTAAGGCTTTCTCATAACTCTCCTTGGCCTCTTTATGCCTCTCCAAACTTGAATATGCTAAACCTAATCGACCGTATGCCTTGCTGTACGACGGATCAATTGAAAGCGCTGTGTTACAGTCTTTAATAGCTAAGGTGTGATTACCAAGTTTGCTATGAACGGCGGCTCTATTACAATAATACACTGCATTGCGACAATCTAATGTTATTGCCCTGCAAGCAAACAAGCTTAAGTTAAGAAAGGAACATTATTTATTCAAATTAATAGAGAGAAACTATGCATACTTTGTGTAATTGGCAAGCGCTTCTTGATGTTTTTCTTGTTTCATAAGTGCATTGCCTTCATTTTTCAATCTTTCTGCTTCAGCCTTTACTTCTGGCGTAGCTTCTGGACCCAGAACCGGTGCGGCGTTCTCCACTGCATTTTTATAAATTTGGTACAGATTTACGTTTGCTGGGGCATCAGAGGCTTGCACATTATAAGCACTCTCCAGACACTGGATTGCTACTTCCAAACTCTCTCGTGAATCAGCAGTTATATCGCCATCTTGCAATTGGTCTGTCAGAAACTTGACAATCGACGAGACTAGTCCCTTGACAGCCATCAGTACTCTATGAAAAAATGCTCCTATAAAGAAGACATACAAAGGTGTAACATTCTTATGCTATATATAATATCAAATGTGCCACATTATCTTGCAATTGGCAAATAAAAAACGGTAAAGAAAATGAAAAGGAAAATAGCATTGAGACACAACAGAGAAGCTTTAAAGGTACACATATCTTTTAATTGTGGACTGGTAATTAATTTAAAAAACTAAAGTTGATTCTAATTGACTTAACCAGTGATTAACTTATCAAATAACACTTGGATCATCTTATTAATAACAAGATCATTAATTTGTTGTTGTTTAACATATGGAAAAGGATTAGATTAGGGTAAGTAAGGTACATAGCTGAAAATTATTCTTCTGTTTCAAGAAAACTTTAATTCTGCCAATTAACTTAATCACCGGTTAAGTTTACCAGAATCTAATCGAGGTCGCCGTAAACGTGGCAGGCGATCAACTGTCGGATCTCGGATTGCGCTAATTCATCGTCGGTCAACATAACCAAAAAAAAAAGTATAATGCAATTAAAAAAATATCGCCGAACGCGTTCTCGGATCAAAGCGGGCACGAAAGGGCAAGGAGATTCTTCTCAAGAATTCGCTCCTCGATATTTCGGATCACCAACGACTCATGAAACTGTGTCTCATGCGTTTCATATCTAAAAACGGGGTATCAAACCGCCGAGATTTGCGAATGTCGACGTTCGTGACAGCTGGATATGAATGAATGTACGTAGCGACCACGATAGAGTGCGACGCGGAGGAAACGTGAGATAATCACACCTTTGTCTCGATCAACGGCCGATCCGGAGCCCGAAGTAAAAACGGAGCACAGACGGAGGGGAGCCTCCACTCGCGTGCACGTAGAGGTTCGAAGTTGCCTGACGAAGTTGCCTACTTCACTTCGGTGCAGTTCGCGCGCGCCTCGCGTACCGGCGGCGAACTTCAGTCGCTTCCGCTGTGCGGAGCGATGCGAACTGCGAAGTGCGAAGTTGGTGTACAGACAAAGCTACGGTGTCCTTGCGTGTCTCCCTTCCGAAGAACAGGATCTGAAACGAAGAAATGTTGGGTATACAGCGGCATATTTGGCGAACAGAAAGCTTTAACCGTTTAACTCAAGAGATTGTCTTACGAGCCAGAAGCTGTACGAATAAATTAAGTTTCTCGAATTTTGCGCTAATGTTTTACTGTTGCATTGCGACGTTTTGTCAAAGGTATGTGAAAAATTCAGCTAAAAAAAGTATTAATGAGTTTCCCGCGGTTTTTTATAAGTGTACGATGTATATTTTGTATTCGAAATTTGCACTGCTCTTTGTAATAAATATTACGGAAACGTGTAATAACAGTCACGGTTTGAAATCCGGAGGTCGCCACTTTGTGCGCAAGCGCGCGACGGTCTGTGCTGAGGTTGTTGAACTTATTATAGATTGTAAATGAATATTGATACAATTTGACAGTATATAAAATAAAATAATAAAGGTATAATTATATTAATAAATATATATCAATAGAGAGAATTAGAGCAGAGATTATCGTGCCGTTACTCTAAAATAAGTGACAAACATTATTATTAAAAAGAACTATAAGTTGCTTAGAATAGGAGGAAAACTATTTTTTAACTCCATAGAAAATAAATTGACTTATTAAATAATATTGCGTTCTAAAGAATATGTTTAAAAAATATTAAGAAAATATATTCTTAAACATGAGAGAGATTTAATTATAGAGTTATTTTTAATTAATAGTTATTTTTATGTCATTTTTATTTTAAAACATTTTTTTTGGAGTTGTGAAGATCTTTTATAAAGTTAAGTTAATTATCACCTTTGATGACTGACTTTACTTATTCATGATAATATCTTGAAAATCACATTTTTTATGTTATACCATTTTTAAAATAAAGGAGCGATATGTATATATATTAATAGTTTTTAATGATTATATTTTATTATAATAATTATAGATTTTATCATACAAATTTTATTCGCAAGTAACATTTTCAACAATATTTGTTTTAACAATACTTATATGTATTACAACGAAAACAAAATTCATTGATTAACTTTTGCATATCGATTAATTAATTAAATGGAATAATTAATTATAAATAATTAATAATACAAAAGAGTAAATATAAATATTAAGTTCAACGTTTTTGATGTGTTGATTCGACATTAGCCCAGTAATTGAAACTAGATTAGAATGAATTAAAATATTTATGCGTACTTTTAAGTCCACACTTGATTCAATTATTAAATTAAAAAAAACTTTTTTTTAAATTTAATTCAACTGGATTTAATTGGATTGAAAAATTACATTTCTCTCTCTCTTATTCAGAATTTTGAATTAAACAGTTCACAATGCAAAGAAAAAGCTGATATTATTATGAGATTGAAAGTATAAAAAATGAGTTTTATGTAATTCCTATAATAAATATATAAAAATATGTTTGTAGACAGAAAAAAAGATTTATTTTAATGTTTACAAATAGGTATTTCTGAAAATCTGAACACATTTCAATCCATTTTACATACAGAGTACTGATGTAACAACTGTATGTTTTTAATTCTTCCGCATTTGCTCCATATTTTAATACATATTATAAAGAAAAAAATTCAATCCAATGTATTTATTAGAAATTTTATACAATAACTGCTATCCAATTTTTAACTTATGACGTTATTAATTTATAAATTGTATAGACACCCAATACTCAGATTTTGAAGATACTGTCAATTTTATATCATTTTATATCATTTTATCCGTATGTAACATTCGATATTCTGTTGAATTATTATAAATTTTAATATCGAGAATGACTCAATCGGAGTCAAAATGTTTGTTTAATATACATATCTAATATGTATATCTAAGATAGATTATTAAACATCAACCTTATTAGGCTCGTAGCCCTCTTTTGTTTATTATTTATTTTTATTGAACCTTATTAATGTTATATTTGTTTTAATCCATTTTCATTTACTGGGAGTATGCTACATAGATGACTTTCGGCGATTTATAATAAATAAATATTTATCAATATATGTGCATAGATATATACAAAATTCATTTTCTGCCGATTTCTAAATTCGTTGCGTTAATGTGGACCCTGTTTTACAATTCGGAAAATTATGTTGTTGTCGTCTGTGCCAACCAAAATATAATGATTATTCATGTAATAGAATGGCATCATCGTTCGTAAATCGTTCACGGCATGTTGCATTTTCATTTGAAATTTCTGAAAATAATTGTAATTATATGTTTTTCAATTTTAGAATTATTTCGTATTATTGCATTTCATAAGAAATTCTCTTCTAATGAGAGAAGAAGAAACAAAAAGAGAAAGAAACGAGCGGGTAAAGTGAGATAGAGAGAGTTTGTTTTTTTATCTATAGATTAGATAATTACCCCGGCGAACATATATTCGTAAATATAAAACTGTCCACTCTGGGTCGTCACAATCACAAATATATCGCTGTTGCTAAACTCTGCAAGAGAAAATAAATTTATGCTTTATCAAAGTAAGTCATAATAAAATCATAATAAAATTTCAATCATAATAAAAATCGTAATAAATTGCGCAGAAATGTGATATAAATATACATGTGTTTTCTAATTATTGTACATTAATTTATCATTTCGATAATCGTACCATCGGTGTAGAAGTACTCAATTCCGTTAATCTGATGGGAATGAAAAATGCTTTGATAACTATAAAAATTTCGAAACTCAGGATCGTATTTGTAAATGTTTACTGCATTTGTATCAGGATTGTCCAGTAAAACAAAATAATCTTTTCCTTGTGACAGACTCTTTACGTAACGGCTTCTGCTTGTGAATGTTCTCAACTGTTCGAACTATATTCGAAAAAATAAAGAAGTTTTTACAAAGAAGAAAATTAAATTAATTTTTGCATAAATTTTAAATTATTTTAATGACTTCTCTTACATTATATCTATTAATTATTATACCTTTTGTGTTATTGGATCGAATTTGTATAATGAAGATTTCAAAGACTCGCCGAAACAGCCGATGAGAAGAAATACTTCGTGATCGATATTAAAGATCTGAATGGACCAAGCACCATCCGTAGGAATTTCCTGGATTAACGTTGTGTTTCTCATCGAATGCACTCTATAAAGCAGGCAATTTGTACGATGTGTTGCGCGTACTTTATCATAGTATATCGCCAGAACTATATACACATCACCTGCAAATTAAAAATTAATTTTTTAAGTTTCATTAACATTTCATTATAATTTTAGTAACAGATCTTCTAATGTTGTGTTACGAATACCGTCGTGTTTAAAAATTTTGGCATCCTTTAAGTATCCTTCTATTTTATGAAAAACTTCTTTGTAATTTATTTTAAACTTTTCTAAAGTTATCAAGGAAATTGTAGTATATTCTGGTTTGGCTTCCGTTGAGGTGCATTCCTTGCTGCTTGAGACAGCGTTCGTTATTACGTTTACGCCGAACATCTCGTCTGGATCGTGAAAATTTTTCACAATCTCCCCGGCGTTCACTTGCCACTCTCGTATAGTTCTGTTGGTGTCACTTACGAGATCAATCACAGACTGATTCATACACGAACAGTTGTCGAGTAGCCCGCAAAATCTTCCAGGCTGCTCCCTATACATATTTAATCTGATCGTGTTCTCATCAAAATACACTACGTCGATCTTACTGACATTGGTCCCAGGTATCTTCAAATCCTCTTCCTGCTCTAGATAGAAAAATACGTTGCGCAAGGTTTTGGACATTTGTGAGCTGTATTCGATATTTTGTTCAATTATTTTCCAACGTTCCTCCAAGTCCTTAATAGTTTCATCTGTATCTCTGTTGATATTCGCGACGATGGAACACAAATTCACGCCATTCACCAAACCAGAAGTACTTATGTTTTTAATCCTAACATCCGCCTTGAAAATCTGTGAAAAAATGTGAGCCACACATAAGTTAATACAACACAAATTTTTAAATAAAAAATTTCGTTTGATACGTAATATAAATATAATATTATTTTATTGAACGTCAAAGGTAACGCTTTATAAGTCTTAAATATTGATTTAGCTTGAATATTTTGTAAGTATTTACAGCAAATTGCAATGGTTTAAGTTGACTTTAATCCTACAATTTGAAATCTTTTAAAATTTTCTTTAGATTATATAACAAGAATCTGTACTTAACAAAATTTTCTTGCAATTTAATAAAATTTTAGAGATCCTTTTAATATTGTACTAACAAGGTCACCAAAAATGTCGACATTTCCATCAGTATTTTGTACACTGTCATTATATTTTTTCATCATATTGATACTGTTAATTCGTGGCGCAACAACATCTCCATCGATTGTCAAATCCTCTTTGAAAGTCTTTACGCCATTTATTATTTGTACCTCGTCAACATCATTGAGGACAAAATCAGATGGATAAATTCCATTAATTTTTTTTATGTTTGCATTGCCTAAAATACAGTGGATAAGAAAATGTAAAATTTTTCCTAAATAATTTTACAGTCCAAATTTACAGCCAATCATTTACCTGTTACTGTAACGATACCATTGAATTTTACGTCGCACGAGATTTCATGATCTCCGCTAAGAGTGACACGATCCTTTACAAACTTGTCAAAGTCAACTTTATTCAAAGTTTGTAGATACACATCACCCAACACTTCGAGCTCCTCGAAATAAATATTATCTGGCATAACGTCATTGGAACGGACCGCTGCGTTGACGGACGCATTGAGACCAGCGTTGTTTACTACGTAGAGCTTCTCGACCGTGACTTCCTTGAGGAATGTTAACGGACCAACAATCATGTCGTCGTGATTTTGCCTAAAGATAGAATTATTGAACTCGAGGATGTTCACGTCGTTGATATTGGCAATACCTAGATCGCCGTTCACTTTCAAACTGTCCACGACAAAGTCTTCCTTGAAGATTTTCGTTCCGTTGATCTCAATGTGTTCTCCATCATCGATTACAGCATCCGATATTATTTGTTGAATTTGCTCAATGTCAGAGTAATTACCTCTAACCGCCCTCGCACGAACGTCCTTCTCAAAGATCACATTTCCCGTGATAATTTGGTCGCTATATTTGGTCACGGCGTTATTTAATAGATAAGAGATTGAGGCAGGACTGCTCGAGTCTGTGTCCCAAGAAATATTTCCATGGACTTCCAAGAGATCGATATTCTTTATAGGAATGTATAACAAGCTATCGTATAACTACAATATAAGATGAAAAAACAAAGAGAGATTATTTTGCTAGGAAAAATCTTAAAAGATTAATCTTAAAAAAATTATAATTTTAAGTACAACACTTAATAAATATAACTTTAAAAATATTTTAATATTTTTTAAAGTAATTTTAAATGATTTTCATGTTTATTTATACAAGGAAACTAAAAAATTCTTTGAGGGCATTTTTCAATTTTTATCTACTTAATTAAATTTTCTATCCTCGATTTAGAAATAATTAAAGATTATAATCAGAAGAAAATTACAAATTGCTGATCTGTAATTAAGTTACAGTTAATGTCAATTAACTGTCAATGATCGATATGCATGTCAGACCAAATGGTAATCTTTATTATTACCTCGCTTACGTTGTATCCGTTCATCTTTGGAGTAATCACGTCGCCTTCGACAAATAAATCGGTGAACATTACGTTGCCTGTGATTGTCAGAGGCTCGTCGATCCACATCAGCTGCGAAGCGTTTTGTTTGTTGATAAAATCCACTGTGACGTTGTCGGAAGTGACAACATCAGCAGAGAAGTGTCCTATTATCGTTTGCTCCTTTGATTTAGAAAGAACACTGGCGGTCCAATCATTAAAGTTGCGTCCACGAAGAGATTCTATTGTTATGTTCTGAACAACCAAGTCCTCGATGATTCTTTCCGACGTTATCACGGTATCGCTCTGCCACAATTCTTGTAAGAAGCTCTCGGTCGATCGCCCGCCCACTTGATCGACCATCAGATTCTCCACCGTCAAGTCACCGTCGATGACGACTTTGATCGATTTAGAATTCATCAAATCTCTCAATCGCGTCTGATTTATCTCAATTCCATTCAATATCTCCACTTCCAAATTTCGTACGTGAAACTCTGGTACCTTTAAGAATGCCAGTTGATGTTTGTCGTGGGTGCAAAGCCCGTTTTTGAAGAAGACTTCATGTTGATTGAGAAAACGGACATCGAGATTATCAACGAAAGCGCGACGTGCTTGAGCAGCGGAAAGTTCCACAGTTCCTGAGAAATTCACACGCTTTTCATTTATGATGTCGTTGACATTGATGCCATTGAAAGTTAGAGTAATGATATCTTTCGCTTGGAGAGTTTGCACGTGTAATTTTTCTCGGATCGTTAGTGAATTTGATTCATTTTCGAAGAAATTATCGTGAGGACCGTTTTCGTGAAAGAATTGATCGACATGGAAGTTCTCGAAGCGCAGATTAGTGAAATCGCTTGGTATCTCCTTCATCGTCGTGTATAGAAAGTCGCTCTCCGCGAAACCGTTGAGGTACTTAGTATTGAGTTCGTCGATAGTGAATCCGGTTTCTAAGGTGATATTTTCAATGATATTCTGATTGGTAGATTTTGTCCAATATCGATCGAACATATCGGTCACATTTACTAAATTATCTTCCACGAAAAGCTCCGCTGTGTTATCGACCATGATATTCTGAACATACAAATCACCAAATATCGTGACATTTTTGTAGGTCTGAAACCACTTGTCAGGTATTTTTATTATAGACTCATTCGTATCGATCACCAAATTCTTGGTGACGGTAAGTTTCGCTAGTTTTAATTTACCTTCAAAAATAGAAATATGTAATTATTAAATATAATATTATATAGATATGAGTACTCTAATTATGAAAGAGAGAACAATTTTTGAGATTGGGATAAGTTGATCAATTAATGATGTAATTATTCTAACGCATACTTTTTTTTAATTGTTAGATCATTTTTTATTAAATTAAATAATCTCTCTTGTATTATATTTGTATTGTGTCATATAATCTTTATGTTATATTAATAATGCATCGTTAATTATTTTATTAATTAGTAAAATTAATTAAATAATTATAATGAAATCATACTCGCTGTTACAATTAACAAGTAAAACTGGTTAAGAAATTACCATTAATAACGTTCTCTCGAGACTTTCGTGCAGCTTCCTCAATGGGCACCCCATTAACTCTTTCCGCATACAGATTTTCAATGTGTAACGTTTCCGCATAAAAATCATCAAAACTCTGATTTGTTGTCGTCGTCATGAATTTATCAGCAAAAACACCGTTCACCATCTGTGCTGTAAGGTTCGTAACTTGCAGCAAGTTCTTATACGTAATCGTACCTAAAATATAAAATTGTGATCAACTGTAAGATCTGTTACTAATATATTGTTTTTGTCAATTTTTGCATAATTAAAAACATAAAAACAAACTGTTATACTCAACCATTGATTTTCTGAGCGCGATTAATGATGAATAGATCGTCGATCAACTGATCGATGATTGTTCCATTCAGGCTTTTAATCTTCAATTTCGGTATTGTCAAATCCGAATGCAGTGTAAGAGTGTCGTTTGTATATTCGACGGAGCTGTTTGCAATGGCAGATGCGATTCCTTCGTCATTTTGTAACAGCCAGTCTAACAAGCATTGTTTACAAATTGATGTATATAAAAAGATATATCATATTGCAGAAACTACCCGTATAGAAATTTCACAAACTCTTCCCAAATATATCTTAGATTCTGATTAGAATGCTCAAATAAGGAATATATTCCTTATAGCAAAAAGTCGCGTTTACATTACAATAAACTCACAGTGTAGTCACGGATAAATTATATCGGGTATGTTAAGTTAGCACCCCAACTATAGTACTCAGGAGTTCTGATTAGAGTTCCCACTTCCTTTTGATGAGACGAAGAGTTCCCTATAGTTAATAACAAGAGTTCCGCTCAATAAACATTTTTTTTTACATTAAAAAAAAATGGGGTGCTAACTTTTTATCGAATTTCGAGGTGGAATAGTTCTGAGCGGCTTAATAGCTTCAATTTGCGATTGCCTAGAGTTCCTGATATGTAAAAAAATTTTCGAATAATAAAAAAAAAAATTAAAAATTTTTGAAGAATTAATTATTAGATACAATAGTTCTGATGATAATTCCTGCTTCTTTTTGACGATACGAAGAGTTCTCTATCATTTTTAATGACATATGCGCTTAATAATCATTTTTTAATAATTTTTTAAAGATGAGGTACTAACTTTTTAACAAAATTCAAGGTCGCATAGTTCTGATCAGCTTAACAGAACTATTTTGTGAATACCTAGAGTTCTTGATACATAAAAAACATTTTTGAAGAATAATAAAGTTTAAAAAAAATAGTGGAAACCTTTGAAAACTTTTTTTGAGAGTACCGAGTAGTTCTGAGTTGCGTTTCTTATAGTACTCGACGAGTTCTATCGAAAACTGTAAGGTGAAAAAGCGATTAGACCAACGGTTTGCAAGATACAGCGACATTTGTCAGAAGATCAACAATTTTTAGAGTATATCTCGGAAACCATTGGTCCAATCGCTTTGAGCCCTGATACTTTTCGACAGAACTCGCCGAGAACTGTCCAGAACTCCGAACAGAACTACTCGGTACTCCCAAAAAATTTTCCGACGTGGGACTTGGAAAAAGATTTTTGGTCAAAAATTTTTTGGGAGTACCGAGTAGTTCTGTTCGGAGTCCTGGACAGTTCTCGACGAGTTCTGTCGAAAAGTATCAGGGCTCAAAGCGATTGGACCAACAGGTTCCGAGATATACTCACTTTAAAAATTGTTGATCTTCTGACAAATGTCGCTGTATCTTGCAAACCGTTGGTCCAATCGCTTTTCCACCTTACAGTTTTCGATAGAACTCGTCGAGTACTATAAGAAACGCTACTCAGAACTACTCGGTACTCTCAAAAAAATTTTCAAAGATTTCTACTATTTTTTTTAAACTTTATTATTCTTCAAAAATGTTTTTTATGTATCAAGAACTCTAGGTATTCACAAAATACTTCTGTTAAGCTGATCAGAACTATGCGACCTTGAATTTCGTTAAAAAGTTAGCACCCCATTTTTAAAAAATTATTAAAAAATGATTATTAAGCGCATATGTCATTAAAAAATCATAAAGAACTCTTCGTATCGTCAAAAAGAAGCAGAAATTATTATCAGAACTATTGTATCTAAAAATTAATTCTTCAAAAATTTTTAATTTTTTTTTTATTATTCGAAAATTTGTTTACATATCAGGAACTCTAGGCAATCGCAAATTGAAGCTATTAAGCCGCTCAGAACTATTCCACGTCGAAATTCGATAAAAAGTTAGCACCCTATTTTTAAAAAATGTGAAAAAATGTTTATTGAGCGGAACTCTTGTTATTAACTATAGGGAACTCTTCGTCTCGTCAAAAGGAAGTGGGAACTCTAATCAGAACTTAGTATACTATAGTTGGGGTGCTAACTTAACATACCCAATTATATCACTGTGAGATTATTGAAAAGTCACAATAACATTACATTATTATCTTGATTTATATATAGTAATGTCACAATCAGGTGCAAAAATTTTGTCATAGCTGTATAATGAAATATTATAGCGATATCACATTTGCGACAAAGTGAACATTCACACTTGTGATTTTGTTACGGTATTATTGTGGCTTTTTTTTACTATGAGGGTTCTTATCAAACTTACGTTCGGGTGGTATTCCGCAGAGAGAGTCAACTTCGAGATCGTGTATAATGAGATTTTTTGTACGTAACAGATTTATGAATTCTTCAGCTTCCAGAGGAATTATCTTCTCCGACTGCATGTCCACGTTGTTCACGAAATTCACGCGCATCTGGTCGATTTCCAACTCTTCTAGATATACATCGTCAGCTATAATCTTTTCTTTGAGCGTTTCCAACATATCAGCAGTCGTCATTTTTTGCAACTTTAATTGTTGTGCCTGGATGACGTTGTGGATATTGTGATCGAGTTCTTCCAGAGCATTCTCAATTTGATGAGGTGGTAGGATATCTTTTTCAGTAATAACCTCTGCACTGTCCACCGTACCGAATTGCAAGGTTAAACTATCAAAATTCACTGGTTCTAAAATTGTCAAATTCTTCGCAGCTGGTAAGAGAAACTCCCAGGAAGCATTAGCTTCTTTTACAGCTGGCATTCTCGCTTGTAATGTTTCGATCAGGTCCGCTAAACATTTTCTTGTTGCATCGGAATTATTCACGTTATCTGAAATTTTATTTTAATCTTTTTGAATTGTCTTGACATGTTTATAACAATATGAAGAAATACTTAAATGATTCATTTAATTTCTAATAAGGTACGATAAAAAAATATTATAGTAATTACGAGATAATAATATTATGTATACTTCTTTGATGATAATCGTTTTTCATCATAAATGAAGCAATAACAATTTATTTACCTACAGGTACCGAAGTCATCTCAACTACCCATTGTTCTACCCAATATACGTTTTTTTCTGCGAGGATCAATGTTAAATTTATCGTATATTCGTTCAATGAGACCATCATGTCGACTATTTTTTGATTATTCTTAAAGAGTTTAATGTTCTCGCTTTTCCAATCGGACGTACTATGAAATTTATATAGCTGGACAATATTCTGTAAATTATTTGTCGCATTATTAACATGTCACGCTCTAATTTTCAGTTTATTTCAATATTGAGCAATTTAACACTGACATCGTGCGCTACAATTACAAAAGTATCGCCGTCCATGTGAAAAATACTTATCAAGCTATGCGGTTCTATGTCAGAAAGGCTGAACCAATCCAGTAATTCTCCTCCTGGCAACAAAACATATTCCAGGTTCCAGACAATGTCCTACTTAAAAAAAAAAAAAAAGAAATAAGAGAGGAACAACTTTAATCGAATGCACTAACCATCCCAACAGAACACATCGCTCGGTCCTAAATCATTTATCATCAGAATAAAATTGAAGTCGCCGTGGACATAATGATGCACCGATATCGGATGTGATGCATCGGCAGTGGATAGTAATTGTATCCTCACGACGTTATTGTCCTTGAACTCGTACACTTCGGAACCGATCCACGGATTCTCGGCATAGCTCTGGGCGAACACGATGATCGTTGATCGCCGGTACTCGAACGCGGTGACCGATATTGCGCCGGTCGTCATCACCTCGTCGATGACGTCCATGTACGTGCCGCTCCATCGGTAGATCCTGTAATTCAATCGAACGTGAGAAAGATAAAAATTTGGAAGAGGGGAATATTTAGCTCGACGCATTTGATTTTGCTGTATTGAGAAAAACGTCTGGTTGAAAATGGACGAATCAGAAGATTCTGATTATATCAATCAGAATTCCGTTTTTGTTTCAGTTAATCTCAATTAGAATTCTAGTAACTTTAACCAGGAAATTCTGATTCATTCATTTTCAATTAAAATTTCAATTAATTCAACTAAATATTCTTTTCAGTTATAATTATAAGACAAGAAATTTTAATTTGTTTTGTTTTTACTGAAATTTATTTATTTAAATTAATTTGTCTCTTTATTTTTTCTCAGGAATGTTTCTTTCTTTCTCAGGAAGAAGCTCACGAGACTTACACGGATGGTACAGGAAATTTGTTATTGACGATGATCAGATAAAGTTGATCGGCTTGTGTGAAAAATTTAGCATCTACAGGGATTCCTTTGTATCCAATGGTATGACGGAACCGCAACGGCTGATTCGATTTTGCCGTGTGAATACTGCATAGACTGGGCTCATAACACACTAATAGATAGCTGGTGTCTTCCCATATGATGCTCTACGATATCACAATCGGCGCAACTCGTTTACATTGTTAATACAGTGAATTAATAAATAAAATTAAATATATTAAATATATTTATAATAAAGGTATTTATGTAATATAAAAGATATTTATATTATATTATATATATTTCATATAAGATTAATATTAAATTTTATAAAATCAAGGTTGTAGTTGAAGAGTAATTTCTGTACCCTGACAAATTTAACGACAGCCTCCTTTTTGATCCGATAAACTTCACGTAACGCATTATAGGTCTCATTCCAGGTAGTCATATTAAAAGAAGGTGCCATCACGCGATTACTATCGAGAATAAATACTCCATCGAACATATCTATCACAAACGGCTGATGATCGCTTATTATAGGTACTCGCCATGATCTTTCCCAATGTACACTATATGATTTTTCGTGCACTGTAACCAAACGTTTGCTATTTTATCTCTTGATAAGCATTTTTATTTAAATTATTTCTATTTAATTTTGAGCTTATCATTCTAATGTGTTTAATCATACATTACTCGTATAGTATTTTTTAATGTGCAAATTACTCATGTGGAGTGTCTCTGACACTTTTCTATTATTACATAACCCACACGAACAATGAGATTAATTAGCGAGATTAAATTTAATGAACAAAAATGAAACTTTTCAAACTCTTAACATGATCATTTTGAAGATACTTTCTTTTTAAATAAAAAAAGATATATTTGTATTGTTAAAATAAACTCATTGTGCGGACTTGCCTGGCGATGTTTCTTGAATATGAATTTTGATGAATTCTATCTTGGACTGCCGCAGTTTTTCGTCGAGATATTCGTTCAGGTCTGTCGCGTGCACGGAAAGTAATAGTAGTAGAGAAATATAACTTTCCAGCTGTAATACGATAGATATTGAAACCGAAGAAACGTTTGTGTTTGACCGTGATTTTTCTGCATTTACACATCGGAAAAAATAATAATACTCACAAATAGAAAGAAGAGTTTCATGGTTTTGTGATTTTGATTACGGATGCCGTATCGAATCCACTCACGGCAAAGGCCGTGCGAACATTGAGAAATTTTCGGAAACAGTCTGCGTGATATTCGGGTGACCTTCTTAACACCTCGCGCGTATGAGACGCGATTATGAATACAGTAAATGTAAATACGTCAATATTATGAAGTATAAATATGAATGTATTCCTCTTTTAGGTCTAACGATACGCGGGCAAGGCAGAGAAGATAAACATTATATACGTACTATACAGAACACATGCATATATATATTTTATTGGAAATCAAAGTTAATTAATGGATATAACATAAATAGATAAGAATTTTTTGTAAAATTTGTGATGCTGCTCTAAAAAAAGCGTAAAGAATTTTTTTATATGTAAATTTTTTAATGTATTTAATTTGCTGGCATACTGCAGACAATTTGCTTATTGAATATATGTATATACATGCATGTCTAGCGCATATCTTGATCAAATATACTTTTACACATTGCAACACGTCGTCAGAGAAAAACAGAAATAATAATAAGGCTCTACTTTCGCATTGCAATACGTTTATTATTTTCATTATGTTAGTATTTAGAGAGAAATAGATAAAAAATAATATTATTTCAATCGCGGTAATTGAATGTCTATTGGAATTTGAAAACGGAAATAGATATGTATAAGATTTTTAAAATTATAAAACGTTGATAGAAGAGAAAATTTGTATTTAGTTTGTTTAACATAGTTGGTAATGGGAGAACAGAGATAGGATAGTCTTTGTATAATATATTTGCTTCCTCTGTGTATTCTTTTACACTTCTTGCGCTTAGAATAAAATTTTTCCGTTTAAATTTCGAATTAATAAAATTAATAAAAAGAAGATCATGAGAATAAAAATTGATCTAAATAAAAACTAATAACATAGAATAATTCATACAAGATTCAGCAAAGATTCCATCAAATTTGCACTCGAATTCATTCGAGATCGTTTTCGACCAAACGAAAACACAAAGTAAGTCATCCGCTGTTTTAACTCTTCAATTACAAATACAAATACAAACTCTAGCATTTAATCGTCAGAGTCATATAAATCCAATATTAAAACAACAATGACGACATTTGTGCGACGAGCATCGTAAAATTCAAAAGTAATTCAAATCTTCGCGCTTGCGCGTACTAGGGAAAAAGGTTGTAATCGCGACGGGTTTCGAACGTTACGTTCAGAAACGCGCGTGCGCGAGATGCGAGGGCGCATGCGCACTAACCCCGATGCGAGCAGCATCGCGTCCTCCGATTGGCTGGACGGTCCGCGCGACGCAGACCACGACGACGAACGGCGAATCGCGGGCGCGGTCTCGACTGTCTCGAACGACTCGAACGTCTCGAACGCATTATCGGTCGGTGATCGGTGGCTGCACTCGCTCGAAAGTCGACTCGGAGCCCACCACTGTGCCACTGTGCCGCCCAGTGCAAGTAGTACGCCCTATACGGTGTTCCGTTAACGAACGCGGGCGACAAAACGGTCGGATTGTCTCTCTGTCCGCGGCGGCGATCTTTTTCTCGGATCTTGCCCACCCTTGTTCCCCGGACGTCGCCACCGTTTTCGTTCTCGTTCCCCATTCGCGAGGAAGCGCGTTTGTTCCCGTCCGCCGCCGCGGGTACTCGCGGACGCCGGCGCGCCGGGAACGCGACGCCGCGAGAACGCGGCCGCGCAGCTGCGTGTGCGACCGAAAGAGTACGAGCACGCGTGCTCGCGTGTGTGCGTGCGCGCTCGCGCGCGCGAGCGAGTGATTCGGGATCGTCGAGCGCTCTCGCGTCCGTGTATGCGAATGCACAACCGCGTGCGGGCGGTTCCCACACGACGTCGTCCGTGCAACAAGTGTCAGGAGGCGACGGTGTATGGTAGCGGTCTTTAGAACTGTGCGGTGCTAATACGGAATACGTGCGTGCATGGTGCTCCTGGATTAGCGCGCGTCACGGTGGGATTATTGCTCCGTCAACACCCGACGCCGATCACCCCGTCATCATCAACATCGGTCGCACCGTCATTATCGTGTCACGACGACCGTGCTGAGAGGAGACCGTCGTCACCGGCGAGGGCGCGGGGATGGGCTGCGCCGTGAGCACCACCGGTGAGAAGGAGGCCGTCGAGCGGTCCAAGAAGATCGACAAGGACCTCCGCGCTGATGGCGAGCGCGCCGCCGGCGAGGTCAAGCTCCTGCTGCTCGGTAAATGCTCCGACACGATAACCCCGGTTACTCGCCGATTCCTCGGCTACCGACGTCCTCGCGTATCTATAACGCGCGCGCGGAATGTATAAGATATATATATATATATATATATATATATATATATATTACACATATCGAGAGACGGAAATCTCCCGGACGCGAGCCTCCACTCGTCTTTTCCTCTGCTCTCGTCCGTTCCCCAGTTTCTGGTTTCGAGGCTTTCCGGTCCTCAGCTCCAGAAGACTTCGCAAAAGACGACGGCAAAATTTGCATCCCCTGCTTCGACGACGGCGCGCCTATACTCCGATCTCTTTCTTTCCCTTTATTCTTTTTTTCCTCTCTTTCTCTCTGTCTCCTTATCTTTCTCTCTCTTTCTCCGCTCGTTCCTCTTTCCTTCTCCTCGCACATCGTCTTGTCTCGTATCGCGCGTGTATCGCGTATCGGACACACCACGCACCCGCCGAACGCTCCCGAAGGCGCCGCGTAGCCCACGATCCGCAAAATCACGCCTGTTCTTCCTCTTCGCCTTCTTCCTCTCTGAATCACGAACGCTATTAGGAAGAGAATTATTATTATTAGATCTGTCCTATCTAGCGTTTACTCCAAGTTTTCCCTAATTATTGCGATATGTACTCTCTTTCCATTCTGATGATTCCAAGAAAATAGGGCCATAACCAAAAGATATGACTGTTATCAACCGGTTGTAATCAAGAGAAGCCACGACGATCTATCGGTGAGATTACATTTCTTCCAAACCGCGGTAGATCCGCTCGCCTTTCTTCTTGCCTTACGAGACATTTTCCTCTTTCTCCTTCCAGAATCTCGGCGAAATACTTCATCTAATCCAAGAAGCAAAGAATCCTGTGGAAATGAATCACCAAGCTCCGAGCTTCCTCAGCAATTTCCTCCCCGTCTCTCCCTGGAGTCCTATAGTCCTACGAGTCGAACGGAACAGCAACTTGCATGCCAGAGACAAGAAAAAGAGTTGAAACGCAGCGGTTGATACTGCGCCTAATTCAGGCGACGAGACTCCTTTCCTAGAGTCTCGCGACACACGGTGCCTTTTGGTTAACACGCTCTCGATCGCACGAATACAGGCGTCCCTCTTTCTCGCGAAGCGCTTCCCACAGTGGCATGCGTGTGTCACATTTCACGTTCTTTCTACGGCTAAAAAGTAGACGGCCACGAAACTGCGATACACGCCGTAATTTAATCGCGGTCCTATTCTCTCGTCGGCCAAAATCCCCCGCGGTCTGTTCACCGCTGTCCTCTTAAAAAAGAGAAATTGCGTGTTCCCGGAACGGGAGCGTCCTTTTAACAATAGAATTTACAATCGATTGTATGTACACATCCTGCTTTTCGACGTATAGAAAGATTATAGAGATTAATATCACGGAAAGAACGAGTTTGCTGAAATATCTAAACATTCAACTGTAAGATACAGATTGGAAAATAACTTTGTTGGACTGTTAAAACAATTATGTAGGAAACTCAAGCATGATGAGCAATTTTTCAAGAATTTTTTATATTCTAACAATCAGCTTGAACATTCTACATAATTATTTTAATCATCTAACATAATTATTTCTTGATTTGTGTCTAAATTTTTAAATACTTTAACAAAACTGTTCTTTTTATTTAGTGTTTGATCAACGTAATAAGTTCAGACATTTTATTCACTCCGATTGAAGAGCTGGAATTTAAAAATGTATACAAAAAATGATTGTGTCATTCGAATGATTCATTTTTCCGCAAACTGTTCATATTTTCAGTTTGCAAATTGGAATAAACGTTTTCCTCTACACGTCTAATACGCCACGCATAATAATACATTCAATTACGCGAAATTACTTAAATATTTATTATCCGTAGTCGTCAGATATTGGATGTAACTGATCCAATAGTATAATATAAAGATTTAGTATTGTTTAGGATTGCCACACAATGTGTTCAAAAAATTTTGAGATTCTTGACCGACATCGCGCAATGTGGAATAGCGGATGTAGAACGCATGCAACGTTACGGGAAACTTGAATCATCGGCCGCGTGTGAATCATGAGATTACGTCTCTCTGAGATCGCGTAGAATTATCTTCGTCTCGCTTATAGGAAAAAAACATTACTCTTCCTGGAAGGGGAAAACGAGTACTAATCTTTGCGATAACTGCAGCGGGACTGATCGTTGATCGGACGAACTCGTCGGCAAAGACACCGATGATTAATCGACTAATTGGATTGATTACATATCTGGCAATGTGCCAATTGTGAAGGATTTTGCATAGACTCGCATTGATTCAAAAATAGCCTGCGAGTCGTTACGATAAATGAATCGCGGCGTTAACAATGCACGGCGTGAAAGCGATTTTAATTATGTCAAGGGAGACTCGCGAATTTCTCGATCACATAGTCGATACTGCATTTAAGTTCGATATTGTCTAGTGTAATAATATTTAGTGTAATATATTTGATAGAATATGTGTTTTCAATATAATTACATATATGATCGTTCTGAATGTATTTATTAAATGATTCTTATTGTTTTACGTATTATATATAATATATACGTATACATGTATAAATTCAAGGTGCTGGAGAATCCGGCAAATCCACGATAGTAAAGCAAATGAAAATAATTCACGAGACCGGCTACAGTAAAGAGGAATGCGAGCGATACACCCCTGTGGTATACAGCAACACGATACAAAGTCTAATGACGATAATCAGGGCCATGGGGGACCTTAGAATCGACTTTGCTGAGCCTAGCAAAGCGGTAAGTTTGCGCAGCTTTCTGTTAGATCGTTGCGAAGTATTCGTCGTTTTTAAGAAAAGTTAATTGCGACAATTCGAGTTCTTTTTTCATCAAGGTAGTCGTTGTTATTTTCAATACATTTTTTTCATTTAGGAAATATAGCTTTCTTTTTAATTTTACTTAAAAGAATAATTTTTCAGGAAGAATAACTTTATTTACGAAATTTATGGTAGACGACAAATCTTTTACGTCAGTCTATGATATTACGTACATTATTAACTGCACTTCGTTAACTTTCTCGTGCCCCACTGGCACATTAGATAATCGGCCTTGTTTTGCGTTGTAGGATATAGCGCGACAATTTTTCACCCTAGCATCGGCGGCGGAGGAGGGCGAGCTGACCGGGGAACTAGTGCTATTAATGAAGCGATTATGGCAGGACCCGGGACTGCAGCTCTGTTTCTCGCGTAGCAGGGAATACCAGCTCAACGACTCGGCAGCGTACTACCTTAACGCACTTGACCGCATAACGCAACATAATTATATCCCGACACAGCAAGATGTGCTGCGAACGCGCGTCAAAACCACCGGAATCGTGGAGACACATTTTTCTTTCAAGGGCTTACACTTTAAGTATGTTGCCTATCTCATTATCTAAAGATATTTAATTTTAAACAAATTATAAATAATCTCAATCATTGAACAAATTATTCCGAAATATACATTATAAGAAATTTTTACGAAAGATTTATTTTAATATATACACATAAAATTATTGTCTATGTAAAAATAAGCATATATAATTCGTCAAAACAAAATGGTTTTATATAAAAAATATTTTATTATATCTCCAAAAAATTCAAGATATAATATATTATTTGCAGAATGTTTGATGTTGGCGGTCAACGGTCTGAAAGAAAGAAATGGATACATTGTTTCGAAGGCGTCACTGCGATCATCTTCTGTGTTGCTCTAAGCGGCTATGACCTGGTATTAGCGGAAGATGAGGAGATGAATCGCATGATAGAGTCAATGAAACTGTTCGACTCGATTTGCAATAGCAAATGGTTTGTCGAAACGTCGATCATACTGTTCCTGAATAAAAAAGACCTGTTTGAAGAGAAGATCACCAGGAGCCCGCTCACTATCTGTTTCCCAGAATATAAGGGCGCCAACACCTATGAGGAGTGTGCCTCTTACATCCAGATGAAATTCGAAAATCTGAACAAGAGGAAGGATCAGAAACAGATTTACACGCACTTTACGTGCGCAACAGACACGTCCAATATACAGTTTGTGTTCGACGCCGTGACCGACGTAATAATCAAGAACAACTTGAGTAATTGCGGATTACTGAGCTAAACATTCCAATACTCGATCAGTAAATCGAAAGAAAGGATATATCTTAATACGTTGACGACTCGTTAATCTTCGCAAATGCATTAAAGAATGACGAAGAGACTGATCGAAAGTTTTAAGAGTATGTATCCGTAAATATATATTATGCGAGGATTTTATTTACACACATACATTAGGCTCTTGAAATATTTTATCGCGGTATAAACTACTCGATTCTATAGTCTTTAATAAAATATTTTTTGTAAAAACTGCGTAAATTTATCCGCATTTCTAGTATGAGTGTGTTACTCCTTAACTTATTAATTTTACATTCGGTGATTAGACAATGAAGTATTCTCAAATTACGAACAAAGTATTCAATATTGGGGAGTCAAATTAATATTTCAGTCTGATGACTGAAGCATTTCGCATTGTCGCCAAGAATGGTTTTTGCGCACTGTTTATAAAGGAATAATTATTTTTGGGAAATTAATTAACATATATATTGATCTGATTAAATAGATTATATTTTTAAAAGGATATTTAAAGTTTCTTATTGTTGCGTTAATCTCTTTTTGAGTTTGTAAATTTTCATTATTGAAAGATGAAAGCAATACTTTCTGGGCAGTGTGCGGAAGAAAAAAGAAAAAAATTCGAGGCGATAATGTTAAATATATAAAACGTATCGTTTACACATACTCCCGATTAAGAAGATCAGAAACGTTGCTTTGTTTCTGCTCTCTAAATGTAATTTAACTATACTAACCTAGATAGCTATTAATTTAGTGATATTTCCTTGTATATAATTTATTAAGCTAAAAGTGATTATGTATTAAGTAAAAACATATTTCTGCTCATATCTACCTGCATTATAATGACAAATAGAAATTCAATATCTTGATGGACATCGAACACAGCTTTCTGTGCATCTTTTTTACAGTATATATTTATCAATTTGAGAGAAAAATTTTGTACAAGCTTTATATATATATATATATATATACAGGGTGTCCCATTACACGTATTAATAAGTAATAAAACCGAGGGATATTGTTTTCATTCCTCGATTCGCCAAACAGACGTAACGACAATGTTAGCATTAGTATACAAGACAAATCGAAATCAAATTTCTTTATATATATACACAGTTTAGATCAATAAATGAAATTTCTTCTTTTTTAAAAGTCGACGCTTTCTCCGTTCCCGACTGATCTCTTTATTAGACCATTCAATACATATATACATGTCCAATGTTTTACATCTTGTACATACAAGTAAGGCTCGATCTAACTGATAAAACGCATGAACTGTGCACGCAAGCGTGAAGAAATGCGTGTTGCCAAGGTGCAGGACGAAACTCGTATTGTACATGTAATATAAGTGTACATCGGAAACAATTTTCTCTTATATTGGCTATACATTTTATTATACTAATTTACACATATGTATACGTCCATTTTCCCGCGCCGATTAGAGCCACCTTTACTTAACTGAGCTGCAAGTGATAAAAATTAAGATATTAAATAGGAATATGTACAATTTATAATGGGTATTTTCCAGCAAAGGTAATACACTGTTCGCTGGGTCGTTAAAATATTTTTTAAAACGGATCAAATTCTAATCTTAGTTTCTGATAATATTATCACAATTTACAGATTTTTATTTTTGTTGCTAGTCATTTACGTGTTAATATAATAATAAAACCCACAATACAATGCATCAGCTAGTACAAATGTGGCATTTTATATCGAATAATTTTGTTTTATTTTTTAGTAAAAAGAGAAAGAAAATTAAAGAAATTTAAAGAAAAAATTTCAAAAGTTGTAGAATTATAAATATTAAAAACAAACAGAGTTATATTACATGTTAAGGCGAGTGATGGAAATTATCAATATTATAAGTAAGGAATTTTTTTCGAACTGATTGTGAAGAGAATTAAAAATGTTTTTACAGAATTGATAGCGTCCTCCTGAGGTTTATCCCATGTATTTTCGTTAAAATGTTTTTTCGTTATTTAAAAGCACTTAGTATAATATAATATTAATATACTCATCTGCAAAAGATAATTCATAATATCTTATATCTTGTGATGTAATGTGACAACGACTGTGTTCCAATTACGCTCACAACGTGGAGTCATTTTATCCTTGTTGTCTAACAAATGTTAAACAAGGAAAAACGATGCTTGTGAGCTTGCGAACGTTAAATGAAACGTAGCCAACACAGCGACGCACAAGATATATACATATATTTTATATTTATATATATATATAGTATAAAAGTCGATATGGAATATATTTTTTTGCAAATGAGTATATTGTTATTTTGTGGATGAGTTTATCATTATACTCTATTCTCAGTCAGAAAACGAGTCATGTAAAGGATTACGAAATCTTCATCATTGAAAGGTTGCAAAAAACGATTTCAAAAGAATATACGTAGGATAAACCTAGCTAGGATTGAGCCTGGGATTTGAGTCGACTGCTTTTACGCAGAGCAACTTCTTATCCTGATATATGATGACAGAATAATACTGTGTTCAACATGAAATGTTTTAACTGTAACAATGTAGTACTCGACGACGTAAATATCTAAGTACAAAGCTCACAAAATAAGAAATTATGTATTTTTTGCAAGTGAGTATATAATAATAGGTCTGTTCGCGTGTTGGATGTATTTTTTGCACTTGGCATCTTCACTCTTTCTTTTTTCAATATCCGAATATATGTATATCTATCTCTCCTTTTAAGGAATTTCAAGCAACGCAAACAGACTTAATATTTATTATTAATTATAATAACATGACAGTATGACATTGTGTTTAACCTGTTGGAAAACACTCATAAATTAACGTTTTGGCTGCCATATCATACGTATTTCTTGTGAATTATGACGCTTACGTAATGACTTTATTCCTCATTTAATTTATATTCGTTATTCACTCCATAAGTAATGTGACAGTCAAAATCGTAGAACATTTGTATCATGCAGAATAGGAAACATGATCCTCTGGAGAATAAAAATTGCGAGGATTTTGAAAAGAAATATAGGTGGGCATTGGACCCGTTGGGACGGACGTTCTAGAAATTTTGATGGAATGCAAAATATAGGAACTTTAAAATTAGAAAAAAAAAGATATAAACGAAACGTAATTACAGGGTGACCTTAAATTAATTGAATTAGCCGCTTTCTGCATCGCTTTCTGCAAGAAAGGGAAAATTCAAATGGGCAAGATACCTTACCTTACATCTGTGAGAATACTGTTGTGTTTGAGTGTACCCTTTTTCTTCTGTTACATCATGCTACACACGATTAATTGTAAAATTAAATTTGTTCGGAGTCTAATGCCCATTTTCACCAATGTAGATTAACTTTAATCTCGGTTCAATTTGCTCTTCGTCTTTTTCTAGTTCTAAAAATTAGAAAAAGATGAACAGTAAGTTCATCTTTTTAAACCGAGATTAAAGTTAATCTACATTGGTGGAAACGGGCATTAGTTATATATTTTTTGGTAGTTTTTACGCTACTAAGATACCGCGAAGACTCCTAAACCTTAAAAGTGATTCTAACATTGAGAATTAACACTTTAAGTTATTAATCTATAATACAAGCAGTAACAACTATAACATTATTACTGCAAGTATTTCGCTGTTTAAACTCTGATGATTATATTAACGTGTTCGTGATATATCCAATTTTACAACGATTTCAACGGGTTTTGAATATACATTTTTTAAATTGTGTCAACAATTATAAATCAATTGAATCTTCGAAACAATAGCCGTTTACGCCACTTTAAACATTCGGTGCGAAACAATGATTTCTCGTATAATTACGAGAACAGATTAACACGATTATATTACCATCAATATATGGAAATACAAAATACAGTGTTCGATAAGCTCAAGAATAATCTAAGAGTACAAATTTACAATTAATTATGCTCGCGATCAGAGATCGAAATGACTTGTAATTACTTCCGACTCGCGATGACCACCGATCGCTTTCAGAGTAATTACTTAACAAATTCGGGATTCTTAGCTACGCTACGCGGATCAGTAACTCAGTTTGGAAGTGGAGACTCGCCGACTACTGTCGTCTCGTCGTTTAATCTCATAAATAATCACACATATTAAATTAATGCTAAGCGTACCGGAAGTCTGGCTAACAGGATATGCATCCTATCTACTCTTTCGTCTCTTTTAGTGAGGATTTCTGGCCGGAATGGGCGGCCCACCGGTGGTTCTTGCTGGAACGGGTGGTGGAGCGTTCGACGGGGGTAGACTCGGTGGTGGGTGCTGCGGAGGTGGCGGAGCTTGTCTATGCGGCAACGGAGGAGGTACCGAGCTGGGCGGTGGTCTGCTCAGTGATTCCTGAGGACCATCCATACGTGGTAACGGCGGCGGTGGCCGATTTGGTACAGGGTAACTGGGCGATCCGTCAAGTATTTCCTCGTATATGGCCGAATCCGGCGAAAGTCTCTCGTCTTGTTGATCATCCTCCATCACATCCGCAATTGGTGGCGTCACCGGGCGCGCGAATTGATTGGGAATCACGCTGAAGACACCCGCTCGTGGTATTTGCTTCCGCTCGTGAACGGGACTTTTCGGTGGCTGGGAAGGTCGGCCTGGTGGTGCTGGTCTTGGGGGTGGGATTACACCATTCGGACTGCCTCTGCTGGGAGACGGCCGATCGGAAATCTCTAATTGTTCCAATCGTTGCATGGGACTTCTCAATGGCGAGTCCGCCGTGAACTGAGCGATCGTAGTGTTGCTGCAGATCTCGATCTCTTTCTCGATTTGTTGTACCCAGTCAGGCGATTTCAGAGACAATTTCAATGTTTGACCACACACCTGGGTCATGCCCTTCTTCGCCGCAGCGAGGGCGCACTGACCATCTCTGAATGTCACCCAGATAGTCTCACCGACATAACGTACTAGAATTGCCTCGCCAATGTGAGATAGGTCTTGTATCAACGCGAACATAAGATTATTATCAAACACGCTGTCCATATCCTCGATATCCTCCACCGCCTTGACTATTATCGTGCCATCGGGAGGACCCAGATCTTGTATCACTTCCTTGAACACGCACTCGCGTTTCTCGGGATCGACACAGTGCACGTCTATATCGATCGTTGCAATTACCGGTCGATGATCACTTTGCTTCAATTCTGCCCTGCCATAATAAGCCAACTTTCCTGGATTCCAATCTGTAGGCGAATCTGCAATATACATTTAAATTGATACAGAAATACAATTATATTCACATTTTTTTTATATTTACATATATATCTTATATAATTAAATGATCATATGACAGAAAAAAACCAACCAATATCAGGTATTTGCTTTCTGCGCTTCCAAAGAACTCTGTCTGTCCATGCGGGTTGACGACACTTCTCGCTGGTGTCATAATCATCCGAAAACAAATCATATTTGTACGTGGGAGCGAAAGTAATGGATCCTTCCTGGAAGTTCTTAAACACGTTGCCCTGTTCTTGTTGAACCTTGAAATTAAAACAATCATAAAAGATATACTATTAGCAATTAAACTTTTAATATTATAATGATTTGTTTATTTTGTTCTATATAACTCGTTAACAAATAAAAGAAACGTAAATTTCTGATCAATAATATGGTATAGTACCCTCAATTGGTCGTATTGCAATATCTGATCCAATTCATTTTGCTTGATCAATTCCTTCATCTCATCCTTGTCCATGTCGACTCTATAATTGAAGTCACCACACCAAAACACATAATCGTGAGTGTTAAGCGTTCTACCCATGGGAAATGTTATCTTCCTTGTAATCTCGGCATAGTCAGCGTTACGTTCATTCACTTGGGACTGACCAGCAGCGAAATGCGCGCATACGAAACAGAAGGACGTGGAGTATAGCACGCATCTAATCGCTGCAGCGCCTTTGTTCCCGGTAGCGCCTCCTAATCCCGTTTTCACACAATCCACTGCCACGTCGCGCAGATACGGTGCGTGTACAGGTCGTATAAATAAGTACAGGCAAACGCCTACCAGCTGCTGATATGTCACGAGAACGTATTCCGTGTCCTTGCATAGCACCTTCTGCAGTTCCTCGGCCCAAGCCTTGGCGTTATCCGAACTGGCGGCCATAATATTACTGGCATTCAAGTCAACGATCTCCTCGAATCCTATCGCAAATATATCTACAGGAACATTGTCTTCCTGTAGGGATACCAAAACTGAAAAGAGATACAAAGATTATAGATTATAAACAGAAATATCTTTCACGTTATATAGAGTCATTACAAAATATTTTCTTCTGTTTTATACACTTTATGATTTAGTGTTTTTAGAAAGAAGACACTTACACGAAGATCTGTTTGGTCCATCGAATAACCAATCGGCCAGAGATACATCCTTATAAACTACACTTCTAAAATGTCTGCCTCCGTTAACGTTATAAGTACCGACGCTCACTCTGAGATTCATTGTATTCACATACTCGTTATAACGCTTGCACATTTCTCGCAAAAGATTTGGTGCGGCATGTAACATGTTGGATGGCAACAATAAACGTGCTCTGTCAGCTAGTTCTGTATTTAACGTTGAACCTAATAATAAGATATCGATCGCCTCCTGCTTGTTAGAATCCAGTAAATTATTTTGTATCGTTCTAGCTGCTGATCTCGCGCCGTCCATCAATTTAGAACTACCCTGGATGGCACCAGTACCCGCGTATATCTTGCTGACCTCGTTACCATTATTGATCCACATCTGACGAAACACTTCCTCAAATCTCGAAACCATCTGCTGCTTTTCCATCAGTTTTAACAAACCCATCTGTTTGGCAAGCATCTCAAGCGCGAAAAACGTTTGTACACAGTTTGTTCTGTCCAAACAGTCCAGACAATTCGTCCTGATTGTGCCAGTTTGTTCGAGAATTACGGTATTACCGACAGCATAAAACAGCGAAAACGACTCCAGGTACTTTTCGACCTTTGCCTTTAGCTTCGACAGATTTTTCATGTTTCCGCCGCGACACTCCTGATGATAATCAAACAGGATGTGCGGCACGTCTTTGTGTTCTGACATATTATGATGGGTTTGAAACAACTGACTCAACATCGCTTCTCCTTCTTTGCTGCCAATCAAACTGGAACCAAGAAGATTGACGATGACTTGTTGACCATACCGCTTTTTGATCATGTCTAAATGCCTGTCAAAGGCGGGCGCGGAAGTCTCGAAGCCGCGTGAAATTTTCACTTTGTGGGAACCGACTTGTATACCAGGTTGTTCCCAGAACAGAGACACCGAACCCCTCGTCTGAACATAAGACGTCACTTCGTTGTCTATATAGATCACCTGTTCTGTTTCCACGAAATTCGCCACATGTCCATCATCGTTAGTTCCTCTAACATTAAATCTAGACAAAAGATCATGTTCTTATATAGAAGTTTAATAATGATTTCAGCAGAAGTTTTTAATGGAAATTTTCAACTGAAGTTTATAGTTTAATCAAGCCACATGTTTCAATAAATTTTTGTTTTACATATATGCGATATGGATTAGTTATCTTATATGTTATATATGTTGTGCAAGATATATACCTTTTATCAAACACTGTGATAATTCTTAATACCATATATTGTGAGGAAAAAAGGCTACGAGTAGTTATTAGTTTTTTTTAAATTAATCTTATTAGCTTTTGTGAGCACTGAACTGATTAAAAAATTATCTTACCTAGTGCCAGCACGTTCGCAACTTAATCTAGACATAAGCACCGCTCGAGCTTGTCTGTGTCCAACATAGACGGTTCTAATCTCCACACTACCACACATTGCTTTCAATAACCATTGACTCGTATCTACGCCGTATCTCAATAGATGGATGTGCAACATTCGATTCCTAATTAATAAAATTATACATTTTTTGGTCTGTGTATCTTTAACAAGTAAGTACTAAAATATAATGTTTGTTTGAACTTATAACTTTCTATTATAAAAGTTCATGTTGTAAAGAAGTGACTTACAAAACAGTATACTGACCAGAAGAATCTATTATCCGTAGTCGTAGATTTGCATCTTCTCTGAGCGCTCAACGTAATATCGAGCGACTTCTGTCCAGCAGACCAGGAGAAATAAAACGTTCCAGAATTCAGGACCTTCCTGACCTCGGACACGCGATCCTCCATTCCTTGACTGTAGAACAGAGGTACAAAACTCGACTGAGTTATTCGAAATACCTCCGATTCGCCGATCTTTCCAACGGAAAAGCATCCGGTAACAAGAACGAGGTACAACAGAGTGTTCTCGCCTGCATTCAGCTGCAGAACGCCCAGACATCCGTACGCGTCCAACAATTTAGTATATTTTGGTTTTAGGAACTCGTACTCCTCGGCGGCTGTAAATTTATGAGAATCTTCAGTTGTCAAATTGTACTCTACAAAATATTCATTACAATGTTGGTGTGAATACTAACATTGATAAGATATGGATTTAACACTATAAGTTTTAAATTCACACCATCCCAAGGAATACATCAAGTCAAGAGACAGTTAAAATGACTTTATTTTGATGTCATAAAAATAAAAAATATGACCTTTAATTACAAAATTTGACTGTCTATTAATGTTAGGAAATAAAATAAAGTCATTTTAACTGTCATTGTGATTTTTTGTTGACTTTACACGTGCCTTGGAATGATGTTTAGATATTAACAGCAGAGATTTTAAATTCATATATATGTTGGTGTTTATAATATTTACATGATAAAAATTATACAGACATCGCATAGTGTTAAATCTATATTGATATTTTTTGGAGTATAACAATAAATACTATTGTTACATACGACTGTCATAAAAACAACGTTTTAAAAGACAGTTGAACATGGAAATTAGAACAGGTTTTTCAATAAAAAAAATGTGTTCGTACAGCACAGACTTCAAAGGGACATCCTGAAGACGTTCAGAAAATCTTACCGTCCTAAGGATATTCTATACAGACTAAGAATGTCTCTTGCATAAAGTGTGCTCTATGGACTTCTACAAAAATATTTTTAAAAAAAACGTACAGCAACGAGTTGCGGTTCACGGTTCAAGATTACAATCGTGATGCCAGAATCAAGAAGTTATAGAGCGGAACGGCGAACGCCAAGCTCCGGTTCACATTTTAGCAACAGCGTGCAGCTGTCATAACGTTAATCCGATTGCTCTTATATATCTTACTTGCGACTCTCTTCTCGCTCGCGAAACGCGTGTCTGCTTGATTTTAAATGTAGGAGGTGTAGGAGGATGCGGGATAAGGTTGAACAGGTTGGCCGCGCACGGCCTCGCCGGTGTTGCGTCCGCAAGTAGGATCATCTCTCCGTTTGGCTTTCGGCCGGTTACTTACAAAGGACCGCGATTGCCTGCGATTCGAAGAGCAGCGTCTCCTTGCGGCCCCGCTGTTCGAGTATGACCGAGTGCGGCTTGGGAGAATCTAGCTTCTCGTAGACGCGGAAACTCTTGCCCATCGCCATTGTTGCACGGTCGTGTTTCTCTGATTGCGGCGACGAATACGGCGACGACGATGATGCTCCACGTAGCCGCGACAGATTACGCCTGTCACAACACGTCGCACCGCAACGAACGGACTACGAAACAACGTTCTCACCGTGACTGGCGCGGCGACTGAAAACCACCGCTGTCAACCGTCGCCGTCATCGACGATGCGCCAACGAAGATCCGCCAGCTCTACGCAGACAGCGTGTAGCGGAAAATCCGCTCGACGCCCCCTCAGGAGATTCTATAGCTGCAGGATCGCATTGTTATGACTGATGTCCAAAAGAGATTAAAACAATTGTTTTTGAGCTGGATCTGTCAATTTGACTGCTGATTGTTGAACAGAATGTGAAGAAATTTATGCGACATGTAATTTGATGGAGAATTTTTTCAGAAATATTATATAGTAGCTGAGAAAATCTACGACTAAGTGTTGCAATTTTTTTTATATATAAGTTACAAAATTATTTAAAATTTCTAAAATTTACATAAAAATTTCAAAGTTTTATGAAAACTTTTAGAAAAAGCGCGCGCGCATCAAATCACATGAAATCAGTTTTTTGATAATTAAAGTTTCTGAAAATATTCAAAATTTATTAGAGTTGTAAGAAAAACATTTCGATGGTGGTAACAAAAGTTATAGAACAGAAAAATCTTTTGAAATAATAATCTAATATTCTTTTATATACTCCACTTGTGTAAAATAATATATTTATTGTATCGATCTATACAGTAAAGGAACAAAAATGCTCCGAATCATGGAGTACAACACTACACTTGCACCGAGTTCTTCTTTCTCGCTGCGTCTCCTTCTCCAGTGATTGCTCGATAAAGGAAGAGAGTTTCGGTGCAAGTGTAGCTCAACTTCACATCTGATCTGGACATATATCTGTTCTTGATTACAGTACAGCAGTAGAGAACAGTTGTCATTGCTTGTCACTCTATATATGCATATATATGCCAGTTGTACGTTGATCTCTTGTTGACTGATGAATTTTCTTTTTTTCTGTTACGTTTTCAACAGCAATTAAGTCAGGAGAATCGAACTACAAGATGTTTATTCTAACGAAAAGAGAATTTCAAAAATTTATGGTAAACTATTTACTCGACATACAATCGTGCATATGTATGATATATAATATTTTTGTTTAATTTTTAAGACAAAACACGTTTTCCATCTATTTCCTCTTTTTGTTGTGTATTATAGATAAGTCGTGGAGGGCTGGCACTAACACAGCAATTAGCTAGGTAGAAATGTTTTTATATATTTTTAGCTGTAGATACAGTGGCATCATACATATATATGATATTATATTTTCTTATTTTAGGCTCTGAAATTTATATTGTTAATATGACTGTAAAATTAGCTACTGTAATTAATAATTAAAATGAGTTCCTTGATATTCAAAACGCTCGCGAGTATCATTTGTTCTTGTTTAATATTTAATAAACAAGGATGAAATGATTCCAAGATCATTGTAAGCGCCAAGTAGAACGCGGTTCATGTGTCATAATTTGAATATCAATTCAAATAAAATAAAGGCAATTTAAAATTTAAATGTGCAGCTGTTTAATTAAAGAAACAGATACCAACTATATGTCTTTGTTTCACAGGAGTACTGCCGTTTTGAACGATACCACCGAATATCAATTTATGCAGATGAGCAAAGTTCCAACATTACATTTTCAAGCATCCTTGCCTCGTTTACCGATACCCAAACTTGAAGACTCATGCAGGAGATACCTGAATGCGCAGAAACCTCTGTTGAGTCAGAAGGAATTGCAGAACACTTCCTCCTATGTCTCAAAATTTCTTACCAGTGAGGGACAGAGTTTACAAAAGTTATTACTCGAACATAATGCAGAGAATCCACACACCAGTTACATCAGCGAACCGTGGTTCGATATGTATTTACGAGATCGCAAACCCTTGCCGATTAATTACAATCCTTTCTTAGTTTATGTGCCAGAATCCGATCCGAAATATGATACGCAATTGGTAAAAGCAACAAACCTTATCGTATCATCGTTGAGATTCTTAAAGTCGCTCAAAAACAATATTCTAGAACCAGAGGTGTTTCATATGAAACCTGAGAAGTCAGACACTCAATTATTCCGCAACGTTACAAGACTGATCCCATCTCGTTTTAGCTGGTATGGCGCTTATCTATTCAAGGTATAAATAGATTAGAAATGATTATACAAAATATTTTAAGATAAATTTTTTGATAGAAAAATATAAATTCGTGAAAAAATTCACAAATCTTTTTATCGCAGGCTTTTCCACTAGATATGTCCCAATACAAGAATCTGTTCAATACAACTAGAATACCGGAATTAGGAAAAGATAGAATCTTTCACGACTCCTCAGCCAAGCATTTGGTTGTACTGAGGAAGGGTCATTTTTACGCGTTCGATGTTTTGGATACAAATGACTCTATTCGTAATCCTAAAGAGATAGCTGCGTGCCTAAAAACCATTTTAGAAGATGACAGGCCAGCACATCCATATCCTGTAGGCGTTCTTACATCATCAGAAAGGGATCAATGGGCACAGGCACGCTCACATTTAGTTGAAACGGGAAATCAAGAAATTCTTCGGAAAATCGATTCGGCTGTATTCGTAATGATCTTAGATGACGAAATTATCGGTACCGATTATAACAAGCTAATTAAAACATATTTACACGCAGACGGTACCAATAGATGGTTTGACAAGTCGTTTTCCCTTATTGTTTCTAAGGATGGCTATGGTGGAATAAATTTCGAGCATTCGTGGGGCGATGGTGTCGCGGTACTCAGATATTTCCAAGTGAGCAATACATTGTTACAACTTTAGATATATTACGCATCGTTAATTTCATTACCTTAAACATTTGAGAACTACGAAATGTTAGGATCTTTGTTATCTTGTAGGATGTGAAAGCCGATATATCGAAGAAACCTAGATTTTATCCTAATGAAGTAGATGGACTTTCTAAAGAAAACGTAGAGAGACTACAATTCTCTCTAGATGCGAAAAGTAAAGGTATCATCGATAAGCAAAAAGCGGAGTATCAAGCATGGGTGAACCGATTGTGCGTCGATTTTATGCTTAATGAAGAGTTTGGTAAGGATCAGTGTAAGAAGCTCGGGGTAAGTCCAGATGCCGTGATGCAGCTTGCATTCCAGTTGGCGTTGTATACCCTAGAAGGCAAATCGGTACCAACTTATGAATCTTGCAGCACAGCTGCATATAAACACGGCAGAACTGAAACCATCAGACCTTGTACATTAGAGACTAAAGCGATCTGTGTCGCTATGACTCAGAAGCAAATCGAACTTTCTAAATCAGAGCTAAAAAAGATGATACTTGAATGTAGTAAAACTCACAACGTGCTTACGAAAGAGGCTGTAATGGGTGATTAGTTTGATCATTAATCATTATATATTAGCAGATTTATAAGAACATATAGATGTGATAAAATATTTTACAGGCCAGGGATTTGATAGGCATCTATTCGCTTTGAAAAGAATTTCAGAGAAATCGGGTTCCACTAAGCCAGCCATTTTTCAAGATTCAGCTTACAATGCTTTAAATAATAATATACTGTCTACATCTACTTTATCAAGTCCAGATGTAATGGTTGGTGGATTTGGACCAGTGATACCTGACGGCTATGGAATTGGGTAAGACATTCATGTTACGTTGCTATTAACACTGAAAATTAAACAATTGTCAATACTTTGTCGTATCTTTGAATATCATTTTTTAATACAGAATACATATTTGTTTAGATATATGATCCAGAATGAACGTTTGGGTTCAGTCGTGACGAGTTATGAAGACAGTCGTAACGCCAGTCAATATGTGGAAGCGCTAAAACATGCATTCAAGAGCATCCATAATGTGTTACATACATAAGACAAAAATTATTGTTATATAATTTGCTAGATACATCTTTATTTTTTATGTATATTCACCGAGATCATTGATTATTATATAATATTGTACAATACATGAATGTTTATAATCATGTTATATCAGAGGTAGGCACAAGTCTTCTTTGAAATCTTAAAGAGAAAATAATGACGATGACGAATATTACCTCTGATATTAGCTCAAAAATTTTTATATAACTGTTAAATAAATATTTTTAATACTTTTGAAGGGATTAATAACTCATGTTAATTTCCATAATCGATTATTTTCTCATTAATTAGCTAACAAGTAGGTACATAGAATTAGAATATAGAGGATAAATTACTTCGTATTACACATACTTTACTTACATTGACAAGAAAATATGTACATTAACTTATGCAAAAGTGAGCGCTATAACGCACTCAAAATGTTTAACAAAAATTATGTTGCTTTCTAACGTCGATAAAAATTACAGCCTATTATAATATTTAATCTTAATCACTTTTATGTTTCAAAAGAAGTAGAATGATACGTTCAACAATATAACACAATATTCACAATTATAAGCACAGAAAGGATGTTAAGTTACGTCATCTAAAATCGTATGAATGTAATTACAGACATGCAATATACCAAATTTGCATTGGTATCTGGAAAATTCTTCTGATGTCACAATGATTTTATAGATATGCAGTCATTCCTCTAGAATCTCTTTTACTGATGACTAAATGTGGAATGGAACATTGTGATCCCGATAATACTCTCTCTCGTTCTCTCGTAATTTATGTTAATTTATCGCCCATTTTCACTTTAGATGTCTGTAAGAAATATGAAAATATGTTCGTTAAGGATATATTTAGTTACATACACTTAAGTATTTCCAATTGTATTCGTAACATGTCTTACCATATAAATACCAACAATTAAACCAAAAAGTCCTATAGCAGAACCAAAAATCTCGACTATAAGAATTTTCACAAAAAGGGCAGAGTTAGCCGCATCGGCGAGAGCTGCACCAGAGCCAACGATTCCGACCGCTATACCGCAGAAAAGATTGACGAGACCAACGGATAAACCAGCACCAAACATTAGATATCCAGACAACCAGTTCTGATTTCTGATTTCTTCACTTTTGTAAGCTTCTGCAGTGAATTTGTCAAGCATTCCAGATAGGACAATGGCAGTGATCAAGCCATAAATAGCTACAGCCTCACAGAATATCACAGAAATCAAATTTTTTGTCTTGATTCTAGGTGCTTTCACACCACCACCAACAATAGACACACCTGTGGTATGGATACCCCTGAAAAGAAATAAATAACTTATGTAATACAAATTTGAATAATTCTACTTAGAACTCTCCATCTCCATCGATGTAATTTTAATCTTGGTTCAACTCTTCATCTTTTCCTAGTTCTGAGAATTAGAAAAAGATAAAAAATAAGTTGGACCAAGATAATCTATATTAGTTAACTAGCAATCCAACTTACAATGCAGCGCCTACTACAGACAAAGCTACTGATAGACCTATACCCAATGTGCACCACATATATGGAGAAGTATTCGTCAAGAACCTAAATAAAAGTCAAACATCTTGCTTAGAATCTCTTTTGTGCTAATAGTTCAATAATGAGAAATCACTGATGTAAGATAAATATGTGAACATACCATGCAATGCTAATCTGCTCTCCTTTGCCAGTAAATAAATAATACAAAACTGCAACATACATATTATATATCACATGATATAAATTATATAAACAAAATATTATATAAATACGAAATATATTGTATTAAATAAATGTACATATGATCTTTAATGCAACTCAAAGATTATTCAGTAAAATAAATGCATTTCACAAGATTGTTCGCAATGATATCATGTATGAATAATTTGACAAAGTATCCAACGCATAAGAGACACTAACGTGTGTACCTCTTTATTTTTATTGTTATAATATACATGTGAAACATACTCAGAATAAGAATCGTCACAGAGGTGGTGACGGTAAATGTATAGCCCAGGATGTACCTCATCGTTGCGACAGTAAGTTTCACCGTTTACGCAATACAGTATATGTAATACACCACGGTCTTCAAGCACAGCCGAGCACAGCCAACACTCTGGGGAGAAGCCAAGTAGCCCGGTAGTCCTTTCGTTTCTTGTTTAACAAATTTTAGATTCCCCACATTGAGAGACTCACGAAAAGATCACGCACACCCGACGCTGTCATGTGACGACTGCTCGCAGTCTGGTAATAGCTAGAGATTTTTTTCTGCGGCGGGACGGCGAGAGTGGGAAATCATAGTGAAAATGTGATAATCTTGCCTCACCTGTATTGCACCTTTTTGGCACCCAAAATGAGACGATATATATGTTACTGTTGAAAAGAGAAAGAGCGAAGATATCACCTGAGTGCAGAAAGTGCAAGTAAAACGAGCGAACGCAATTACGCGCGCTTTTAAAGGAATTAAACCAATCAACTGAGATTAGACAAGTGAATTAATTTATGCAATAATAATAATTGCAATATTTTCAGATAGAATTATTAATTTTTTTGTTTAGATATGTGAAATAAAATTAAATATATATATATATATGTGTATATTATACAAAAAACATCTTACTTTTTTAAACATTAATTAAATCAACATAATTGTATATTAATATATAATTCGTCATCTAATTTTTTCCAATATTAAACGTCAAAAAATTCACATTGCTATTTAATGTTAATAAAATAGTACAAGTATTACCTGTTAAGTTATATAATTAGAATTTGGCAGTTATCTTAAAAACGTGTTTGAACACGATCGCCTACTTTAAAGATTCCAATTTTAATTTACTTCAATTATCGTTATAGAAAGTTATTTCGATATTGTAAAATAATTGCAAAAGAAAATTGTAATCGTAAAATATGTACTTTATATCGACTACGTTTTTATTGATCATAGTTTTTGTGTTAATTATTATTAATTATCTCTATTATTGTCCTGACAAGCACCGGTTTGCACGTTTCTATCGACGCGAGCGAAGAATCGAGCGAGATTGATCTTGTGGACGGAATTATCGGGCGCATTTCGCAAGAGGAGACGAATACACCTAATTTTAGAATCGGTCGCACTCATGTCCGTTTGTGCGACGAGGAAGTAGAGTCCGCGCATGTTTCGTATTAAACGCGCAATCAATCAGTCTCAATAACAATTAGTGGAAATGTCTGCGATGAAACAAGAGTAAGCCAGCTTATTTTTCGATCCCGGCTACTAGAATAGAGAAAATCTCACCATGTCCAGATCTGATCTCTCGTTTGAAGATGCTTGTTGCAAAATCGGGTCAGTCCTCCGCCTAATGACAAATTCTGTGATCGGAATGTTCACTTCCGTGACCCTACACGAGCTGTCATCACTCATGCTTTATTTCTGTCTGCGATTAAATTTACAGTGTTAAATTTAGATAAATGATGGAAACACGTTTGTGGCTGCGACTTGTTTGTAATAAAATTGGAGTTGCGTTGCACCTTCGACTGATTCGCATATTTTCAGACACGTCAACTTTATGTATTATTATATTAGCGTATGATAACTCACGCAAATGTGTTCACAATGAAAAAAGTTTTAAATATTTAATGTATAAAGAACTCGAAGCATCTTCTATGTTTTTTGATAATAAGTTTTTCCAATAAATAATGAGCATATTAATGCTTTACACATAATGCTCATAATACACTTTATCCTTGTTTATCAAATATTACTCTTTAAATTTTTTTGGAATGGAATCTCATTCTAGAAAATGAAAATTGTGTCAATCTTGAAAAAAGGTGATTCGGTTTTTAATCTTTAAAATGTGAATTTACTCTTCAAAGAGAGAGAGAGAGAGAGGAAGGATCACTCTAAAAATTTTAGAGTAAAGAATAAACTGCATGAAACGGAACGCGTTTGATGAGAAATCCTAATGAGAAATCCTATACATTTCCTAATGAAAACATTCTTGCACTAAATTATTAAGAATGAAAAATATTGCAATATGCTATATAACATTATAATTTGTAGAAAAAATATTAAATCTCTGAAGATTATCATTTTCGTTGTATTTTATTCTCACACGTAAACTCTTACTTCTGCAAAGACAATTGTTCCTTCAAATCGAATATTGTATGACATAAATGGACGTAATTACCTTTTTTGTTTTCGTTTTAATTTATTGTTTTTATATTGACGACTGTTTAAAATAAATTAAGAATTTACATTTATTGCGTTACAGAAAAATCTCGTTTTTTTTTTTCATATTTTGTATCAAGTATTAAAAACTATTTTGATCGTTCGCCTGTTTTGTTACAGAAACCTTTTACTTGACGAATTTCGTCATGTTGTGCATGACATTATCTCGCAAGAAGAACCGCTCGCGACTCAATTCGAAAGGCTATCCGCGTCAGGTGATAGACAAGGAATGGTCAGAATGCTTATGGAAATACCCTACACGGCGAATTTAAGACTAAGCGATTCGTATGAGGGTAAGAATGATACGCAGGCCGTGCAGCTGTACGAGAAGTGGCTTGGGGCGAAGTCCAGGAATGAGCACGCGGAGATTAGAACCTGTAATATTCTCACGCAAGCACTGTTTGTGGCCAGTGCGAACAGTAGGGTGTTTCTAGATGCGATCTGCGAGCGCGCTAGGCGTTTTTACAGTCTGCGCGCTTATGCGAGCTGCCTGCGAGACTGCGAGTGCATGCTGGTGCTTCCTGCGAGTTTCTATAACGACTCTGCGGAGGACGTTAAATACTTCGTGCAGCGTAGGAAAGAATGTCTTCAACTAGAGCGAGAATGCTTCCGAAAGTTGGAACCCTCCAGAAAACGCGGCACCCGTGGAAGAACGCCTTCCTCCTCTTCTCGTTCTTCTTCCAGCGGCACGTCGCCCATCGTCGACGGCAAGCCGCATAGCTGTCTTGCGAGCTGCTCGGATAGCGTTGACTTGGAGGTTGATGAGGTCAGAGGCCGACACCTCGTGGCTACAAGAGACATCAGACCGGGAACTGTACTCATTGTCGATCGGCCGTTTTCCTTCAGCACAGACGCGTCGGCTTTCGACAGGAATTGTTTGCATTGCCATGCCACACTTAAACTAGAAGACAGCGTTAGAATCCCATGCCGCAATTGTCAAACAGTTAGTAGAGTGCATGATTTATATTCGCGCATGCTACACGCCATCCCCCAATGAGAAATGACAATGGAATCGACATCGAATTGATGTCGATTTCATTGTCATTTCTCACTAAGATGTATATATCTCGCCAAATTTAATTATCCATATCTTCGCCTATTAGAATTCCCGTATTAATTTCTTCTTTTTTTTTCGTGTCTTCCTGCAATTTGTGCGCCACAGATGCGCGCCTTCGATATAAATTTTATGTTGTTATTCTCCCAGGTGGCCTTTTGCACGGAGGTGTGTCGCAAGGAAGCGTGGGAGACGTATCACCAATATGAATGTTCGGTATTTAATTACTTCTTCAAAAATTCATTAAACAACAAACGTCAACAAACGTCTTACCTCCTGCTAGCTTATCGCACAACGGTTATAGAAGCGCTATCGTTACGAAATAGAACAGAAACAACATACGTTTTGAATCCTGATTTTCTACGATATCATGCTAATGGTAATGCAAAAGATAAAGATAACGACATTAGCAAGGAGTGCGCGGACTTGAGATCAAAGAGAACGTACAGTCCTCTCGATTATCGTACGGTGTTTCAACTGAAAACTCATTGCCCTGATGTGGAACCTCGCGTGAATCTTATTCGTACTGTCGAGGCAATTTTTCTTACGAAATGCTTGATCTCGGTTCTGAACAAACTGGACGTTATTTGTACAACGGATACGTTCATTTTGTTAGCTGTCGCTATGTTGCACCATTTGCAGGCGATTAACTGCAACGCATACGAGATTATCGAGAATGTCCACGACGAGGCAACGCGCATCTGGGAACCCAGGAATATTGGTGCTGCGATTTACAGCACGGTCAGTCTCGTGAACCACAGCTGTTATCCCAACGTGGTTCGTCACTCTTATCCGAACGGTACGTGATCCAATCAGGGACAAACTGTACAAATTGATGAAGACGACAGAGAGACGAACTAAGTTTCTAATAATTCTCACCTTACAGGAATAGTCGTGGTTAGAGCTCTGCGCTTCATCGGCAAAGGATGCGAGATATTAGATTGTTATGGACCTCATTTTCTTAGCGAGAGCAAATTGAATAGACGTGAGTTCTTGTGGAAGAAATATCGATTCCTGTGCGGATGCGATGCCTGCAAACAGAACTGGAAGCATCCGCTACCCGAAATAACGAGTTATAAGTGTACAGCGTGCTCGAAACCGACAGATTTCTCGATAATAGACGCAACGAATCAGCGGTGCACCAAATGCGAGAAAAGTGTTGATTTAAAGAGAATCGAGAAGCAGTTTCATAAATCGATTCAAAAGAGACTGAGTGCCATCGCGAAAATGTATCAGGGGAATTATAAAGACGCGATGCCTTTGCTATTCGAGCACGCGAACTTTGTCAACAAACATTTGATTGAACCGAATATCGAAGGTATCAAAACAGAACAATGTATCGTCCAGTGTTATAATTCGCTCGGCTCTATTTCCGTCTAATACTACCTTAGTCGGTTTTAAAAATTATTTAAAGTACTGAAATAATTATTTCAATGTTTATTTTATAGCTCTGTGAAAAACGCGACACAATTTACTAAGAATAGATACCTCCAGCTTTTTATTCTGGAAAGAGAACTAAAAAAAAGTAAATTTTATGCAAACTGGAAAATAATATGGAACAATAATTTTCAGCTGCATTCTCGTTAACAGTTGCGTAAGACAATACAAGATTAGACTAAGTAATTAAGAAGCATATAATTCCCGTGGTAAAATACGTGATACAAAACAAGTTATTCAAGAGTTAATTGATTTTCGTACAACGATAGATCAACATATACATCTAACGCCGAGTAAAAGAGCGAATCTGAATTACATCTCATAAATCAAATAAGATGGTTGCGCATAAACGCGCGTTTTAAGTACGACGTTATGCCTCTTCCATGCTTATACTATAAAATTGGGTGACATAACATATCAAGACCATTACTTTTCAATAGCATTACCTTACTTGCGTGAGAAAGACAAGAATTATATACAATACAATGATTCATCATATACATTGGTAAAGTACATCCA